AAGCCGCACAATATTTGTTAGACTATTCGTAGGTATTATGACATCTGTTCGTGTTCATGTGTGTTGCCGCCCAAGGCGACACCCAAAAAAAAAAATGTAATAACAATGCAAACTCACACATTACAGCGAATATTGTTTATGTGTGCTTCTGTGTGTGTGTATGTCACACACTTGGCTTCTTTTTTTATGCTGCGTACCCCTTTTTTTCACCGTGTGCTTGTAATTTTCATTTTCATTTATATGTATTACGCTTTGCTCACATGAAAGAAAAAATAATAAAGTGCCGAGTCACAACAATATATGGATATATGTATGCATCTATATCTATGTATGCATGTACATACTTGTATGTAGGTCTGTAAACATGCCACACATCTATGCTGTTTGCTGTTGTTGTTGTTGTTGTCATTGTTGTTTGCAAATGAGTGCCAAAGATATTTTCATCAGCGCGCTACAGACACCAAGACGTCATTGTGCAAACAATTCACTTTTTGTTTTGTTTTCTTGTTTTTGTTTTTTATTTACACCATTAAAATACAATCTGTTTATCATCATTCACATGCCGCTTGCCCTAAGTGGGTTAGCCGTAACTGTTACTGATATAAAATTAATCGGTTTGTCATTTACAAAAGCCTTTCGGGTCCAACGCTTTGCAAAAAGGAACGTTTAAATTGTTGAATTGTTTCAATTGTTGGCGCGTAAATTTAATTGAAAGGCGTCAGAAACAAGTTTTATTTTTATTAAACTGACATTTACAAGTGAACGGCAGCTTTTTGAATAGGTATAGTATATACAAGTATGTACATATTTTAGCCTAATTTATGTGAGCACATTTTGCAAGTCAATAAGCACAGAATGCAAAAGTGTTGCATAGAATTTTTGTTTTGAATAAGCTGTTCTTAAATTCAAAAATTCAAACCCGTATACAAATGTTCTCATTAAGGTAATAAATCCGAAACGTTATAGCCGAGTGCGCTTAAACTCAAAAACTACAAATGTTTGCGGAAATATTTTAAACTGACCAAAATTATATGTAATTGCAAATGCTGTATATAGTTATATACACATACTGATTATACGTCTGTAGAAATAGTCATAATAACCTTTAGTCGACAACTGTATATATTTCAGAAAATATTTATCTTAGTATGTTTAAATCTGATGGCTCTTAAATTAAATCCATGACAGGATTATTGGTAGCTCCACCTGAACTATTTCATTATAACCTTTCACCCTTCGCAAGTAAAAGGTAAAATAGTGTAAGCTTTTTAGCCAATCCAAACTACATACTCTGCCATAGATAAAAAAATACTTACATATGTAAGAGATCCAATGCATATTACACACACACACACGCACGCACACAGCTCACTCAGTTTCGGTTTTCAGAGTACTTTCAAGGTTGCCGCTCGCCAAGAACTTGCGCAAAAATGAACAACAAACAGAAAGGCGGCAGCAAGTCGGGCGGGCACTTGGCCAGCTACATTTATTTTCATTAATTTCATATACAAGTACATGTATTAATACGTATGTGTGTATAGTAAGTACATACATATGTGTGTGAACTACATTTATCCGCAGCATGGCATGGGTGTGGGTCTTTTCGTGTGCCACTTGAGGTTGACAAGTCACTTCGAAGGCAAGCAAACAATGTACAAGTATGATATATGTGTGTATGTATATGTATCTTAAACGGCACGGATCTAGTTGGGCGCACTTTTTGAAAGGCGGTCAGAACGCAAAATTGAAACTAGTTTGTGGCACATGCCAAAGAGCTTAGCAGTTGCGCAATTGACGCCATGATTCATAAACCAATTTACAATTGCACAAATATAATAGGCAGCCGCAGGCTCGGGAAGGGGCCAGAAGCAACTACAACGAGTTTTCATTTAAGCAGCTTACCCAGTTCGAACAAAGAACAGAACAGACACCAGCACTTCCTTTTTCAAAATGACCGCGACCATGCAAGAACCAAAACCCAACGACCTTGCCAACGCAGGCACGCACAGAACAGTTGCTTGCGTATTTTTTTTTTTGTTTTTTTTATTATTTTCTCGTTTCTTTTGCAGCTTGCAGTTAAATGTATTTTATTGACTTCACAGAATTTACAATGGCATGTCCGCTACGCTAAAAATAAACTGCCGTTTTAGCTGCGTTTGCCGACTGCGTAAGAGGCCTTGAAATCGCAAGTTACATAATTAATTGCAATGAAATTGAGTTTTATATACCATGCTCGTATGTGTACGAGCCCATGTTAGTTTTATAGACAATATATGTAGTAAGACATGCCTCATTGCAGGCATGGTATGCGGAAAATCTGCCCATGAAAACGACAGACTTAAGACACGAACTTGCTTAATTGTTGTGACGCATTTCAATCAACAGCGCGCCATTCTTTGTCTCTCAATTAACACTTAATGCACTTTTAACAGCTTAAAAACGTAACGCGAAAACCCTTTAAGTGGTTGCCGCATTTGCACAGCTTATTATTAAACAATAGTTAACTGAATAGTGATGTTTAAATATTTATTTTGTTCGCTCGTAGTAGTAGCAGTTCTTGGTGTTGTTGTCGGCCACAGCCAGCATTGAGGTAAATAATGTTCATGCAATAAATGTTAAATTTTAATGCAGTTAGTTTTAATAATTTTATAATAAACATGCTGAGCAGCCAACGCCAAGATGCCGAAATAAAAAAACGAAAATAATAACAACAACAAGCAACAAAAACTCAATAACAGTCAATTTGCAGCGCTCTACTCGACTACGGCGGCTGTGTCGGCTGCTGTGGCTGAAAGGCCAGCCAGCTAATTAAATTTCATGAGAGCCTGTGTGTATGTGTGTGTGTGTGAGTGTGCGTGTGCATGCGATCATCGCCAAAAAATCAACAGCACGTTCGCCACACAAAATCTTTTTATATTAGCAACAAATATCAACAGAAGAAGTAAAAAGCACAAAAAAAAAAACGGAGAAAAGAATGAAATGTTATGCGCATATTATACAATACAAATCCAGAATAAAAAACGAAAAGTCTGACGTACTCGTAGCAGCCAAAGGCGAACTTAATCATATCGCTTTAAAATAGAAGATGAAACATTCAGTCAAAGGCATAGCTCATGTTGCCTTTTGGCATTCGTATACGAAAAGGTCACATTGTCTTTCAATGGCAATAATTAAGTATGTGGCTTCATTTTCCATTGAGTCACGACTGAAATCTGCACTCTACATATTCAAGAATACTAGCCGGGGAAGAACAAATAAAAGTGTGCAAGCATAGATCCAATAACTCATAGACATACAGGTCAAACAAACAAATATCAATTAAACCCAGAGTTTGTAGGCGTGCCTATATTAGGTAAGACCATGGAAAGCGTTAATTTAAATAAATTAGCAGATTTTTTAGATATTTGTTTTGCTTTTTGCAAGTCCAACACTTCTTACTTGAACCCAGCCGCCGCTTTTGGCAAGAGAACTAATCAAATCTTTGGACATATTGACTTTATGGCCAGCAAACTTAAGCACACAGTTCTGCTCAGCCCATGCTCAACATACGTGACATATATATATTAGTTTTATGTTAATTTGATTTTTTGTCGGGGGGATTGCTAATTAAACCACTCGTTCATTAGACATTTTGCTCGCATAACGCCAACGCTAAGAGCAAATAGAAAGCATGAAAGCGGTACATTAGATGTGGAAGACCCCCAACTGATTTTGAGAAATAATTCTAAGCCATTGAAGTGCATTTAAAATGGAACATTCACGACATAATTAAATGCAGTGCGTGTCTTAATTAGACTGCAGAGCATGTTTTGCCCTTATTTGTCAACTTTATGTGTGCCATTAGCAAACGGTCTAAGGTGTTAAGAAACACATAAAATAGATCAAATGTAAACGCTTAGCTATGCAATAGTTGGGTGAGCACGAAAATTGTGACAACTGTAGGAAGCAGCAGCTATATAGCATATAAATTGTTCTGGGCTTATCGATTAGGCCAATAGTTTCAGCTCTCATGTCAGACTCACTTTCGTTCCAATAACAAATATACATGTTTGGATGGCTCACTATTGATAAACCGCATTTGGTTTGGCGACATTAAGTCAAGTCACGTGTGTGACCGCGAATACACCTGATAACTGGCGAATCGTCTTTGCATGCATGCCAAGTGCCATGTAGCTGGATTTTGTCACCATACATTGGTCAGCAAATAGTTTGACTTTGAACATTTTTCAATACAACGAAATGGAATAAAATAAATTCAAGAAAACCCAACCGAGTAATTGAAATGCGGTGCAAGTGGAGCTGACGAAAAAAAATGCAAAGTAAAAAACTAAATAAAATAAATGTGGTCGCAGCTCACAATTAGAGGCAGTGACATTGATAATTTGTGCTACTATTTGATATTTCAATATGTAAACAGCGTATTTTTTGTATTTAAAAAAGTTATTTGTTAACAGGAATACCTACAAACACACAAATTTCGAAACTTAAGCCACGAACTTGTCAAATCAGTCGATACGATTATTTTTGGCCAAACACACAGACATACAAAGGAGCATAGTTATCGTACAATAAGTATATACATACTAAAAACGAATGCTGTTTTTTTTTTTTTGAATTATTTTTCTCTTACTTGTTTGTCGGCTGCAAAACCAAGTTCATTGGCTTACAGATCTCAGTCGATTGCTTATTAATCTCTAGTGGATAAAAGTCAATTTTTTTTATGCAATTAATTCATTTTTCGCTTTCCACACACGCAAGTAATTTTGTTGTAGACGAAATGCTAGATCTAATCATTTTAAGGCGCTCTCAAAAGTCATTCGCACCGGCGAGAACTTCATTATATTATAAAACGTGCCGCTACTTAGAGACAGGGCCGTGCCCAGTGGCGCTGACTAGAAGTTGTAGGTGCCATAATTATTTATTTGGCCAAGTCGAAAATGAAATAACAGTTTGGAAAACGCTCATTTCAGAGACCGAATCAACTCAGACACGCACACAAACAAAAATGATTTCACGCCGGAAGATCATATCTCGTTCCCTGGATAATTTGGATGCCGTCGGGCAAGACGAGCAAGAGGAGGATGTGTGGCTTGATCGCGAAAAGTTATTTAGAGTAAGTTTGCTAGTCTATCAAATGATTCATTTTCCTATACTCAATCTTTTTTGCTATGTCAGGATCATATCAACGAAGTGCTAGCCAAATGGACGCAAATCGATGACGAAATATGGGCAAAGATAATTGTCTTTGAGAAAAATCGCCGCGTTGCCAAGGCCTATGCGCGCTCCTCTGTGATAACTATAAATGGTTCCAAGAACGGTTTCGATGGTGTACGGTAAGTGACGCGGAAAAATGGGAAAAGTCCTAACAGTTTCTCACTCTTTGACTGATCTCTTACAGCATTGGCTTGAATGGCTTTGAGAATCCTATGCGAGATGCCGAAACAAAAGTGATCAAAAAATCCATTGGAGAAGGTTTCAAAATAAAAATGGACGATATTGGAAATATTTTTATTAAACGCTATGGTAAGAGCAACGTCTATGTCCATAACACATCGTTGGCAAACGAGGAGACCGTCATCGGCGGTGACATCATGCAAATGCCACAAATGGCCTTAACCCCTGGCACATCGGCTAAGCTCTTCGACATGCGCAAATATACGACCAACATAAATCGCGAGTTCTCGCGCAGTTATCCAGAAAGCAGCCGCCTGGAGCGACAATGTCTTTCGGCCGTCTCGCTGGTCAAGTCAAATAATAATCTAATCAATACGCCACTCTGGATACTGGTCATTAATGTTGTAGCCATCGATATGCTGAAGAATCGCTTGCAGACGCTACCCAAGTCACTGGATGCCCTGGGCATGCGCATGCCTCTGACCAACAGCAGTGAGGATCCGTATTCCACCATTGAGAGTCAAGTTGGTCTCATATATCCGACACCTGCCGCTTCCGATGATTCAAATAACTCCAACAACTCGAGTAAAGGGCGTCGCAGCATTTTCAGTGCCGGGTTTCTCGATGAGAGTCCATACGTGCCAAAGGTATCTGTTAATGCAACTTCCTATTTCTACCGCCCAATGCTAAATACACATCCTTATCCATAGCCGGACTACGAGATATATAATAGCAACCAGGTGGCCACACCAACGCCCATTTGCACAGACAAGAAGCGGCAAAAGAGCACGCAACAGCGCAAGAAACAGGATGATCCCTACTACTGCGGTCTTCTGGCACGCATTCCAAATTTCATCAAGTCTTCGAAGCAGCAGTGCCCAAATAAATCAAAGAAGGAGCCCAAGATCTCGCGTAAAATTTCAGTCCAACAACAGCAGCAAATTCTTTTGGCGGCTGGAGAGCCCCAACCCACGCCTCCCATACCGATAGCAACTTTTCATCATTCCTACTTCCCCTATAAGCTGTACACCCCACAACACCGACTTTCGCAATCGCAGCTCTCTCTGTGGGATGCGCGCAGCCTTATCAGCGCACATGGTATGATTTAAATAAGTGATTTTATAAATAAATTCTCCGGACTCTATAGGTATATGTATATCTTTTTAATTGCAGAATGAACAGCGCAATTGGAATTAATTTATTCTTCGCATAGAAATATTTTAAAATTATTTAGTCAAAGCAAACACTATAATTATGGATTTACTGATGGATTTGTTAGTGGAGTACATTTCGACCGGTTAATGCGAAATGCAGCCGTTACCACGCAACAAATGCTCGTCATTTATTATAATAATGCGGTTTTTTATATTTTATTGCACCATACTTTTAGGCATGAAAGATTTAAAGATTATGCAATTTATAATAATACATAATATAAAATTTTGCCATAGTTTTTTAAATCGTTTAAGACTGAAGATGTCCTGGAGAAAAGGTGTGCAAATTAAAGTTCGGTGGAAAAGCAGCGCACAGTGAACGCATAAATGTCATAAGCAAATTAATTGCTACTTTAATTGCTACTTTGCTGTAAATATACATTTCATATGTAAATAAGTTCGAATTTTAAATGTGAAAACATATCAACATGATTACATTAAAAGAAAGTTATTGGAAACAGAAAGTTTTCCGTTTGTTTCAATTGATAGGCATAGGTCTATAGTGTGTGGCCCCTTTCTCAGCAGTATTGAATTGCCAAAATTATTAACATAAAGAGCTTCATCTTCTGTGAGAACTTCTATAGAAATTTGCGAGGTACTACTATATTAGTATATAATTGTTATTTAAAATATAGCAAAATTATATTTAAATCTCATGAATAAAAGAATGACAAACCGATGACATACGTAAAAATATACATACATATATACATTTTGTATGTATGTAAGTACATACATTCATACATACATATGCTTACACGAGTGTTTTTATTCACCTGTTATAGAAACCGTCCATCAAATGAGCAGTTTTCATGTTATTAAAAAAACTGTAATAGACGAAGCTAGCCAATAGCCATATTTATAAATAAACGTTTTATTAATGTAATGAACATAAAATTTGTGTTTTCCCCCAACGTGTCGGAGGCATTAATAGACGTTATTGTACAGCTTTGTGTTAGGCTTTCTTATCTTTTAAGTTTAGTTTAAATTGTTATATTAAGTTATATTATATAATCGACAGAATTATTGTTGATATTCTAAATAAAATAAAATAAAAATAAATATCACATCTGTTATCAATTTTACAGTAAAATTTTTACTGTTAGACTAACAGTGTTAGCCAACAACAACTTTTACGATTGCAAACAATACCTTTGACGATAGTTCGCAATATTTTAAAATACACGAAAAAGCTTCGTTACTTTTTCGACACGTTTGATTTCTTCAGCATTCTCTACCACTTCTGACTCAGAAGTTCTGAGAGCAATATTTTGTTATGTTAGCAGCATTTTGGTATTTTAATGTGGAGGTATCGATACTTTACCAACGAGTTCCATACCAAATTGACATCGACAATCGCCTTTTTTTAATATATCGATATATTCGATAGGATGGTGGATAAACACTCCACCGCGCTTTTGTAATATTCTTTGGCTAAGTTCGCAGCAATAACTACTGTGCAATTGAGGTTTATTAGGTGCTGCAATATATGCAAGCGATGGAAAGATTCAATCACTGCGTGCCCTCGTGGAAAACAAAGCATTACGGAGCAGTGGTTGGAAACGCTGCACAAAAACAAAAACGCGGTGGCAAACGCGACGCCACCTTTAAACGCCAGCCGTTGAAGGAGAATTCCGACTCAAATACAGACAATAGCGAAGCGCAGAGTACTCCACACAAACGGCAAGAAAAGCACTTGGAACTGCTAAATAAGTTTCGTCAACAGGCCAATTCAACAACAGGTAAGCATTGTATTAATTGTTGTTATAATTTTAGAATCGAAAGGATTTTAATTTTAGGTAGAGAGTTCAAAATTAGTAGCAAATAACATTAAAAAAAAAATACCACAATAATAATTGCAGGCGTAGCGCAATGAACAAAGCCAATGATAATGATTGGTTGAACAGTGGGTCATACGAATTTCGCTATCGATAAATATTTAATATAGTTTATTACTTGTTTTCTTAGTGCACTCGGATACAAATGACGAGTTCAAGGACTTCGATGTCTCACATATTCCGATGGAGCCAAGAACTACCAAAGGCGCGATTACTGTACAGCTCGTTGCCCCAGTGGCAAAGATTCAACAAGAGACAACTATGGAAAATGAGGCACCTGGACGCAACTTGGAAAATTCCCGCGCAGAGCTGGACATGCGTGCTATTAAGTAAGTCCAATGTAACTCTTGACAGTAAGGTCGACTTATAATAACTACCTCCTTTTATTAAACAGAAGCACTACCACATGTTCAATCCCAGCCATTACAACACAGTCCAAGCAAGATCCGTGTTTCGAGCGCATGCAACGTGATCTCAACAGCCCGTCTGCATTTTTGCGCGCTCGTGCCATACGTGCCTTAAAGTCAGTTAAAACCACTTAGATAATTGTGATGTATTAATAATCTAAATCGCATTTACAGAAGTCCCAGCAAGGCTGCTTATACACAATTCGATGTGCCCCACGAGGAACAAAGCATTATTACAACTGAGGAACGGAATCCGCCGGCGGAACCGACATTAGCAGACATACTAAAGGATGTAATTGTCTACGTTGAGGTTCGCTCTGGAGTTGACAATCGGTCGGAAGGTGTGAAAACTGTAATTGCCAAAATGGGTGCTCAAGTCAATGATCGACTGCTGCGGTATGTTATTTTTAATAATGCAGTTATTGACTAAGATTTGACGCCCGATGAATTTTTCCATTTAGCACCACTACACATGTCGTTTTCAAAGACGGCCTGCTATCAACGTACAAGAAAGCTTGTAGCTGGAACGTTCCTGTAGTTTCAATATTGTGGATTGAGGCTTGTAAAATGCATCGGAAGCTGTGCCCTCCTGAAATGTTTCCCATTAGCAACAAACATCTCTATGAATATCCAGAATTATTTCCTAAATTGTCGGTAAGTCGAAAATAAATTTATATACATACATAGAGTTAGACTTACTTATGGCTGCAGTAATAAATCAGACGACATCATAAATAAAAATCGCTGCATTAGCTTTAGGCCACTTGAAACTACAAGGTAATAAAACATTTAAAACAATCAAAAATTGATTAAGTACTTCGTATGTAGGTGCCAACATTTTGATAAAATTTAAGAGAATAACATTATCAGCAATTTCCGATGACTCAGATAAGAATTTCCCACAATATGGTCTACAGTGATAAAATAATTCACCAAGTTCACATATAATTTGTAGCCATGCGCTTTTGAATTTTTTTGTGGTGCCGTTTGAATTTGCACGTAGCAATATAAAAGAACATAGGCAAATATTTCAAAGCTACACATAACTACTATCTATAAGTATGGCTTTCTCGACAGAAGTACATCATACGTGAAGATTCTTATCACTTCCAGCAAATATTAAGTGACATGTTATTGTTGTGCGTTGTTCCTGCTCTTATCTAACTTAATTTACCTGTAACTTTCTGGCCTTGTTGTCCGCTTATCAACGTGGGCGAGGATGGTAGGAGCAAAAAATATAAAATAATTCTCGCCCATGACCAGAGATGCAAATGTGAACGTTGCAGCTTATATACGTAATGTTTTATTGCTTAAATATTACACAGTTTGAAATACACTAGGCGATGACAACTTAAAGCCTAGTTCACATGCACGTATGTTTGCGCAGTTCGTAAGAATATTATATATCAATTGCCGGTGAAGTCATTTACATAATTCGCCAGAAACCCACAAATGCAGATACAGACTCGTCGTTTTCGTTGTCATCTTTGTCGACGTTGTTGTTTTTATAAAATAAGTTAAGGTTACACATAAGTTAACACACAGAGCAATTTTCCTAGCAATCGCACTGTTGAGATTGTTCAACTCATACAAGAAAACATACATGCATATGTATAACAAGAAAGTAATGTAAAAAATATGTGTAAATACATAATGCCAACTATTTACATTTAGAAGTGCTCATTAAGTACTTAGAGTACAATATATACGCTACAAATTTAAAAATTACGCTAATTTGTTGGGAGTGCAGGGACTGGAGGAAAAGAGGTATCATCACTCGAACAGGAACACCTATATACAAATTTGTTGTTTTCCCATCACGAAAGCGCCACTTCTAGACACATCATAATCAGAAATCCAGCCACTGTGCCCCACGTTGCGATCGTTCCATTTCCACTAGCATGCGCCTCCGGTAATATGTCATCGGCTACAATGTAGATCATTGCGCCTGCAGCAAATGACAGCGCGTAGGGCAGTATGAGGTTGGCAAAGGTTACAGCCACAGCACCAAGTACGCCAAATATCGGCTCCACCATGCCCGACAGCTGTCCATACCACAAAGAACGCATCACACTGAAGCCAGCAGCATGCAGGGGTAAGCTCACAGCCAAACCCTCAGGGAAATTCTGTATTCCAATGCCAATTGCCAAGTTTCTGGCGCTCTCAAATGTCGAAGAATTGGTGGAGCCCACAGCCCCGAAGCTTACTCCAACTGCCAAACCCTCGGGTATGTTGTGCACCGTTATAGCGACCACTAACAGCATGACTCGTTTCCATTGCGACAGCGCCTCTTGAGCCCGTTGCTCCTCCTGGGTAGCTATATATGTGCACTGTTCCACCTCATGAATGCCACCCTTCTTCCGGCGTCGTGGCTCACCACTGTGTTGTACGCTCAGGCAGTCAGAGAAACTGTCAAGACTCTTGGACACGTGGCGATCGGTGGCACCATTTCGCTTCTGATCATCAATGGCAATATCTGCTTTATCTTTATTCGATTGTGTCATTTGTATCATCATATTGGTGCTGTTCAGACCCAGGTAGGACATTAACTTGTCGCAACCGTAGACGAAAATGGCGCCCAGCAGAAAACCGCCGGCCACTGGCATAAATGCATAAACTCCATAAAGATTTGATGTCTCAGCCATTTCAATGGCCGGATTGAGCAGTGACCAGAATGATGCAGCAATCATGACGCCTGCTGCAAAGCCTAGGGCAGCATCGAGTGATCGGCGCTGTGTTCCTCGCACAAAGATAACAAGCGCTGCACCTGCGGCAGTTAGGCCCCAGGTGAGCAGAGTGCCAAGCAGCGCTTGCGTGACGGGTCCGTAGCCGGGAATCATCTTTTCGCTCTTTCCTTTGTAGCTGCGCAGATGTTTTGTCGTCTTTCTACTCGTCTCAGAAAAAAAACAGTTCCTTAATTGTACACCTAGCTTTCCTCAATGGCAAAGGGCTTTACAATGAGTTCACACAGCATAAGTTTTACAACAGATGCGCAGCCCGAAGAGCTGACAGAAAAGTGCCACGTTCTTTGCTTCCACAGAGCGCAGTGATTTGTAGAAGTGTATTTGCGTAGACATTAATTTTTTTAAGAATACAATCAGAAGATTGTTCTTTTATTATTATTTATTTAGTTGGGTGTAGATGTGTGACTGCTGTTCAGAATGTGTTTCGCGTTTTATTTTGATTCTTTTAACTTGAACTTTATCAGCATTGCCACTTGTTGCTTATCGCTTCCTTTCTCATATGGTTTTTAAAATGTGATGGAATGTTAACGAAATGTTGAATGTTACTAAAAATTAACAATTGGAACGCGTAATACTGTTTGTTACAATTAACAACTAATTTAGCACGGCGGCAAGCGATGAATGAGTCGCAAACCCACTTGTCAGCCGTACATACAGCATTTTTTTTATAAGGCAGAGCCGCTATGTTCTCATCTGAACTGCGCATGTGCTGAGAGCGACGCAGGGCTACTAGTGAGTTGTGTCGCTCACGTTAAGGCAACCAGGGCTACAAAGAAAGTGCTATGCGCGCTGCGTTCAAAATAAATATTACGCATTAACGAATTTTATTAATCTTTTTTTAAATTGTCTAATGTTATGTATGATTATGCAATACCACTATTACCCGCTTTTAACTAGAGTGCAGAAGACGCAAGCGCCCGACTCGTATATACCCTGTAATCGAATCAGTAAAATTAATTTAATATTAATTTTTTAAATGTTACTTTTTAAGTTAGTCATATAATAATATATAATTCTGGGTAAATAATCTTTAAAAGTAATGTATATAAATACAAAACATGACACCCAAATGCCAAGAATTGGAGGAATTGTAATAAATCGCCTTTTTGGGTACATCACCAAATAACACAAGCTACGGACTTGGGGAACCTGCATTCCTTCCGTAAAGTGATTACAAAAATTTAACAATATCATAATACTCTTTTACCCTTAAGTACAGGGTATAATAAACAAAAGTGCAGATGTACAGGTGTTTGGCGTGCTGCCATACAGCAGTACGCCAGTAACGGCACTGATAGCACGTAGTTAAAAAACAAATAAAACAGTGTTTTTAGACAAAGCCATCGTGGGTTGGTTGACTGACAGATTTAGTTACGACAACAATAAGATCAAAACTTATCAGTACAGAAGAAGGTTAAATTTGGCTTAACTCCTTCAGGAGCATAAGTTATCCATTAAACTGTTTACATGACTAGGAATGCAATTAAACCAAACCAAATGTTGATAATCGTGTATGTTTTTGTGAAAACCTAAATTTTCCGTTTGCTTAATCCTATTTTTCCCTGTATAAAAGTATATAATGTTTTTCTCATTACGGCCTTCATATATTTTTTTTTGAACAATATTTAATGCTTATAATTTTGTATTTATGCTTGCTTTAATGAAGGTTTTTAAAATTTTTTGGTTAAGAAAACACGCTCACGTAAATTAATATAAATATTTACTATTTTCGAAACCGTTTTAGCGCGTTCGTTGCATACAACCCGGTGCAGAGCTTAATAGACGTCCACGCAAGCGAGTAGGTGGCACGCCTACAGGCTCCAAGGATGTTGAAAGAGAAAAGACTGCTATTAAGAAAGCCAATACTACTTCAGAAACCACAACACCTACATCAACTCCAACGTCGCGGCAGAAGGTATGTAGCTATGAAAAACGTGGCCACATCCGAGCTAGTTATGATTATATATATATTTACAGAAGGACATTACTCATTTCTTTAAACCGCTCAGTCTCACCAAACAAATTCACGCAATCTGCGACGAAGCGTCAGCTGAATCACCAGCTACTAAATTACTTAACAGGTTTGTCGCCCTACGAATAACTCAGAACTTCCACTAGCTATAAGCTGTGATCGTTTCAGAATTAGCAGCGGTCAGTTCACGCCGGTACAGACAGCTTCAAAGCAAAAGCAAGAGCATGTTGATGACAATGGCAGTGGAGATTCGCCAAACGTACAACCACCCAATAAGCCGAGAACCAAGAGAAGTTTGAGCTTTGCAGAAACAAGGTCTGAAGGACCCATGACACGTCGTCGCAGCTCCGTGGGGCTGGCGCCTGTGACCACACCAGCGCCAATGACAAGACGCAGCAGTTCCTTGCACGTTTTTAACAACACACTGGATAATAAAACTGTTGATGGTGAAACGATTCCTGAGCCTCGTTTGACCCGGCGTCGTAGCTTAATGAGTCTCGGAACAAATTCTGTCGTAGAGCCGAGCACGCCGAAGGTTTGCAAGAAACCATCTGTGCAGTCCATTGCCGAGGAAACACTTGCTGAACCGGTGGTCAAAAATGTAACCAATTGCATGGAAATGTCCTTAGAAGTAAGCGTCGAGCAATCCGCAGCAATCGTGCCAAAACAACGTGCCACTGTATACACTTTAGAATCTATGGAAATATCAAACGTTCACTGTCGTAGTGTCTTCACATCCAGCACTGATTTGGCCAATTTAGATACCCCAGCAAAAGGTTCTGATAGAAATCTACTGACGAATGTGATGACTCAAACGTCCATTCATAGCACCGATGGTGAGCACACACCAGTGCCAGTTTTTAGTTCCACGCGGTTACCCGGCAGCGCTCCAAGCAGACGCTCGATCTATAGCGTGGATATAGAACTCATAAATGAACGTATCAATAGCATCAACAAATCGTCTCAACGTCGTTCCTTAGCGATGATGCAGCAAGACAACCTGCCTCCCACATTGAATAAGAGTAGTAGGGATACACCGCTGGCGGTGGCTCAGCCGTCAACAGTCGACGCAAACCATACGAATAATAATACGGCTGAGGTAACCCCTTCGCAGCCAAAGATGCGGAAACTATTTACACCAAATGAGGAAATAATATTTTCACCACCGAAATCATGCAAAAAATCACGTCCTAGCTTGTGCGCCACCATGCCCAACAGCTCCACCAATAAACGCAGACGTACCCTGGCGGCTGCTCCAGCCACCCCATCAACTGATTATAAAAAAAAGGAAGTTGCTAACACCATGAATGGCTCCGGTGACGAGGCAATGCTCAAAGCCATCCAACTTAAGACTTTAGGTCGTCGTAGTACGTTAGATTTTGAGCAAGCTAATAGTGGTAAGGCCCCTCCCCCGACTGAGAATATTGTGCAATCTAACAATGAGGACGCAAAGGCTACCGATGAAGATAATGATACCACGGAGCGCTTCATGACGCCAGTCGGCTCAGAGGAAAAAATAACAGCAAATACGGAAGAGAAGCCTCCGCCGAAAAAACGACGTCGCATTTCTCGCACCCTGGTACACACCAATATGCACCAGGAGCAGATACAAGTGATTCATCAGGTTGGTAATGTGCCACAAAACTTTACAACCAATTTATAGCCGGCCTACAACTGCAAACTATATTCTCTTGACTATAGCCTTTAGTTTATTCAATTTGGATTTCAATTGTTACTTTTTTATATATATATATGTTTCAATTTTATATTCTTGTATTGATAAAACATAAACGTAGTTGTAAAACTTTGATCGTAATTAATATCATCATACTTGTGAATTATTGCTATTAGAACTTATAAACAATTCATTGTGACGTATCCTTTTTTGAATAAACTTTCGAGTTAAAAAAAGATGTTGGAATAAATTAATGCGTTCCGGCGTGCCAAGCTACGTATTCCCCCATTAGTGAAGACATCTTTTAAAAATAGCATCATAATATTAATTTATTCATATTCTACACGCAAACTAAAACTGTTCGTGCTCGATGACAGGCAATAAGAAAAATTCGTGGTGTACGTCTCGACCCAACTGTGGGACCACGGACGACTCACCTGATTAGTTTGGAGCCACGGCGCACACTCAATCTCCTGCGGGGACTAATGCGCGGCGTCTGGATTGTTACATACAACTGGATATTGGATTCGGTAAGAGCTGGAAAATGGGTGAATGAAGAAGCCTACGAATTAACTTCATTTTCACGCGCCGTTGAGGTAAGTCCCCACGGTATTTAAAACAAAATATAATTTTTAATATTTTTGAACAATCTAAACAGATATGTCGTACTGAGCGCCAAGCGTTTGGGGTTCATTATCGTTGTGAGCTCTTCAGGTATATGGAAAGTTTTTATGTGTCCTCGCTCTGTCGTCCCGTACATTTCAATAACATGAAGGAACTTTTACTTCTGGGCGGCGCCACGCTCACAGAGAATCGCTACAAGGCGAAATATGTAATTGGCGATAAGCGTCGAGCTGAAGATGATCGGATATATCTGTCACCTTATTGGGTTCTAGACAGTATTTCAGCTATGCAAATACAAAAGTTTGGTAAATACATAATGAAGAGTGCTATTGTAACGCCAGTGGGTATCATTTATGAGAATCCCCAGGAGATGCGAATCACATATCAAGACCCAGAATTCATTATTGATAAATAGAAAGACTAAGTATATAAACATTTCGACCAATTTCATCAAATCTTTTTTTCTGCTGAAAATAAAGTAAAAACGTTGAATTGCTGATTCTGAACTTTAGAGTTACAATAAAAAATCGTTAAGTAAAAGTAGTTCTACAGATCTTTATATACTCATAGTATGTACATATGTTTTGCAATTCTTAATTTCTTTCTTATTAACAGATACTGTGAATGTATGTATGTATGTATATTTACAGTCAATCTATTAAATTTCGAATAATTTTAAAAAACTGTTATTAGTAAGTTTATTAAAAATCTACCGACATTATTCAAATATATTCAATAAAGAATTTCAAATAACTGCGCTTTTTTTTGCTATGTACATATGTATGTAGGTATTTTATCTACATATACAATTACCAAATAAACTCGCATTTAAGTTATTTAAAAAAGACTGCTTCACATCCAAAAATACTAAATAATTTGTTTTGGCACCAGTTTAAACACTACTTTGAATACCCTAAGGTAAGCATAGCCATGTGCAAAATCATTTTATCTTTTGTGGACAGATGGTTCCTTTTGCATTCTAATAATTCCTTAATATTTTAGTCCAATTTTAAGATTAGATAGGAAAATCTCATTAATTTTTGATGCACCACTTAATGAGAATCCATAGCTAACTCTCAAGTGAGTAAATTAATTCCATTAAGAAAATACTCATGCTGATTCAAACTGACGGAACCGATACTTCAATTTCCCCCATGTTGTCTCTGCAGTTAGACGATACTTTTTTCATCCCACTTCCACAGCGTGGCACAAAATTAAAACCAGCTTTTTATTTGCAATGTAATAAAAACACATTAAATTCCATGTTGCAATATACCTTTATTCGCACTATTTATTTACTTTTGTGGTAAATTCGTCAGCGTGTAGTTTGTGGTTTAAGTATTTGTACTTATACAGTTAGTTTTGTACTTTTCAGTTAACAAGTTGTGGGTTGGTCGTCGAAAACGATGATGAGTGCGGAAAATGGCAACTAAAGTTGGCGGTGGAAACCAAAGTTGAAGCTGAAAACCAAGAAGAGAAACCCATAAATGCAATTTGAGAAAAAAAAATTTTTTTTTTTTTTTTTTTTTGAAATAAGGTTATCGTTTTCTATTTTGTTGCGTGTACAAAGTAGTAGGCAAAATAAATTTCAATTGAGAATTCCAACATAAGAATACAAATCAAATAAAAATTTTATCAAATTGGGTTAAATGCTACAAGCTGTGTTGGCGATACTCATATATAATATCTAATTATAATACTATAATAAAGTCCATTTATTATAATATTATAGAAACTGTTATAAAGGACAAAACTAAAGATCAAGGGGTGTGTACGTGTTGTTCTAATAATTTCTCACTCCATCGTTTAGGCGGCTGCGACAGCGTTGGGCATTCGTATCCGACGAAATTCTTTTCGATGAAAAAAATTAAATTTTTGTTTAACCAGGAAACTTATTTTTTGCTGGAACTTTATCTTTTCATTCATCTTGCTAGTTACGGGTGGTTCTGTTTTACTACTGTTGTGCTTAATGTTATTGTTGCTGGTATTGTTGGAAGTGCAGCTGGAGTTATAATAGGATGTTGTTGGCTCTTGCTGTTTCAACTTATTGGTTTGTGTAAAAGAACAAAGCAGCTACTTCTTGCCCTTGGTGGCCTTCTCAGCGGCCTTGGTGACCTTGCCACCGGAAGCATCCTTGAAGTTAACAGCCTTGATTACACCGACAGCGACAGTCTGTCTCATGTCACGCACGGCAAAACGACCCAATGGAGGGAACTCCTGGAAGGACTCCACGCACAAGGGCTTGGATGGCACCAAGTTGACGATGGCAGCATCACCAGACTTGATGAACTTGGGGTTCTCCTCGGTGGTCTTGCCGGAACGACGATCAACCTTCTCCTTGATTTCAGCGAATTTGCAAGCGATGTGAGCGGTGTGGCAATCCAACACTGGAGTGTAGCCGTTGGCGATCTGACCAGGGTGGTTCAATACAATGACCTGAGCGGTGAAATCGGCAGCACCCTTGGGTGGGTTGGCCTTGGAGTCACCAGCGACGTAGCCACGACGCAATTCCTTAACGGATACGTTCTTAACGTTGAAACCAACGTTGTCACCGGGAACAGCCTCAGTCAGAGCTTCGTGGTGCATTTCAACAGACTTGACCTCAGTGGTGATGTTAGCTGGGGCGAAGACAACAACGCAGCCAGGCTTCAAAACACCAGTCTCCACACGACCGACGGGTACTGTTCCGATACCACCAATTTTGTAGACATCCTGCAGGGGCAGACGCAGGGGCTTCTCAGTTGGACGGGATGGGGGCAGGATTGCGTCCAAAGCATCGATGAGGGTCTTGCCTTCAGCGTTACCCTCCTTGCGTTCGACCTTCCAGCCCTTGAACCAGTTCATGTTGGTAGATGGTTCCAACATGTTATCGCCATGCCAGCCAGAGATGGGTACGAAGGCAACGGCAGCTGGGTTGTAGCCGATCTTCTTGATGTATGAGGACACTTCTTTCTTGATTTCCTCATAACGGGCCTCGCTGTATGGTGGCTCAGACGAATCCATCTTGTTGACGCCAACAATCAGCTGCTTCACACCCAAGGTGAAGGCGAGCAGAGCATGCTCACGGGTTTGACCGTTCTTCGAGATACCGGCCTCGAACTCACCAGTACCTGCAGCAACAATTAAGACAGCGCAATCAGCCTGGGATGTACCAGTAATCATGTTCTTGATGAAATCTCTGTGGCCGGGGGCGTCGATGATGGTGACGTAGTACTTGGAGGTTTCAAACTTCCACAAAGCGATATCGATGGTGATACCGCGCTCACGTTCGGCCTTCAATTTATCCAAAACCCATGCGTACTTGAAGGAACCCTTGCCCATTTCCTGGGCTTCCTTTTCGAACTTCTCGATGGTACGCTTGTCAATACCACCGCACTTGTAGATCAAGTGACCAGTGGTGGTGGACTTGCCAGAGTCGACGTGTCCAATGACGACAATGTTAATGTGAATCTTTTCCTTGCCCATGTTGATTTACAAGAGCTGCACATGGCGATTATTTTGTTGTGGGATGCGTGTGGTGAGTGATTGTGGTACGTGCAGGCAGGTATCAGGTATACGACAGGCACGGCATAGGGGAAGAAACAGATGGATAAACAAATTTTGTTAGCAAACATAAGTATCTAAGGGCAGGCAGTGGTAAAGTTATCAGGTGTATCAGTTGAAGGACTACATAAAGTGTTCTCAAAAGGCACAGCTACTAAAATGACTTTTGTTTGCGTGACATCAGTTCATCTTAACCTCACTTCGAAACATGCCCACACACTACACGTTTCAAAGGCCCCACCAGCTGGTTTGAGGTTAGGTGCACTGACACCGCATGTCATGACGATGGTGGCAGGGCATTCGCGAACAAAAGACAAATTGCAAACGGTGCACTTTTGCAAACAATAAAAGTCAGAAAAAACAAAAAAAAAAAAAAAAAAAAAATGCAGCAAATAAAACTGTTTTAAAAAAGTAGAAGCTCGACTTTTCAGTGGTTTTGGTATTTTTGTTATCGTCAAAATTCTTCAGTAGCAGAACTGAATTAATTGTCATCATGGAGAATCGAGCATATATGTAAAGTAGAAATAACATTTATCTGATAGAATATGCGCAAGGAAAATTCCAGCAAAATTATATCTCTATGTATTTGTCTGTTTGAATGTATGGGTGCTATGACGTTGAATTGCCGGCTGCTTAAAGACCCAAAGAGAGCGAGCGAGAAAGCAAAGTAAAATGGCGACAATTGTTTGCATGTGTATATGCCGAACACACACAATTTCCATTACCACAAGCGATCGTTGTAGCAAAGGCAAAGCTATATGATCAAGAATTTAAGTGCACCCGGTGGCCATTTTGGACCACTCATCAACTTTACGTATATGTACATTAATCTATGGCAAAAAAAAAAAAGTGGCCAGTCACATCACCTTAAGTTGATTGTGAAATTCGCACTTGGCAACTAAATCAGCGCTTTCATTGCACGTCTTTATTCGCTTTAACTTCTGAAGCTATGAAATAATTCGCATGCCACAATTAGTCACATCACAGCCACGTAAGCCGCCATTTTGAAATTCTATGCCACAGAAAAGCACAAAGAATTTGCGTATGGAGAAAACCCACGTTTTTCACACATGCTGCATTTCGCAATATTTAGCAAACTATTTAGAATAAGACTCTGTTTGAAGCAGAAATAACTTAATATGCATGTTAATTAGCGAAATCATAAGGGAACCAATTGAAGTATGAGTGTGACTCTTAAGAGTGGGTGCGGCAGTCATTAAACTATTTTGAAAAAACATGAAATAAACGTTTAAAATATAAATTATTTTATATGAAATTGCGAATGGCTATGAAGATTATTTGCCACGTGTTTGCCTTTTCTCAGGTCATCGCCACCACCTTTCACTTTGAGAAGTATAGGTTAACTCATTAGATACACACACACACACGTTCATAAAATGCACAAATTTAAGAAAAGTCCAATTGCATATTTGTTTATTTACATAGAGAATTTATTCTATTTCATTGCACATATTTTATCATTCATACATATATTTACATATGTATGAAAATTTTTCACTTGGTAACAACTTACTTTCGAATAAAATGAACGAGAAATCACAGAGTCTATGCGAATCCGGCGACAGACTTGAACAAAGTGAACGAGTGTTCGGCGAGACAGGAAGCTTGAACCCTCGGCGAGTGAAGCGTGGCGTTTCAGGGCTGCTTTAAAGAAACAAATCGATGTGTCGATAATATTTTTCTTCGAAAATTCATTTTCTGTGCCCGCAAACTGCCTTAATACGCATCTCAAATAACCATAGCCAAAAAAAAATTGTGTTTTCTGTAAAAGAATATCTACTTTTAAATAACATAAAGTAGTTTTCAGTAAGCCATCGATAATTCTGTCATTCAACTCAAAGCGTACTGTCAAATGTCAAATTCTTCGAAATTTCCGTTCAATGCGAATGACAATTATCGAAAAGCAGAAGAAGCACGGCAGACGTGGCTGTCTGCTCGAGACGAACAAGCAAAATCAATTATATCTCGTATTTCGACCGGCATAGATGTGCAAACAGCAGGCGCTTGGTCGATAGAAAGCAATCTTTGTTGGGGAAATACATAATCGAAATAAAATACAGAAGTCCAATATGTTGCGCCTAGTGGCAGCTGTGGTGCTGTTTGGCTTAATCGCAAATGCGGCCGGTGCAGAGAGTGATGTTCTTGAGCTTGGCGATGATAACTTTGTGTCAACTTTAAAGCAACACGAGACAACATTGGTTATGTTCTATGCTCCCTGGTAAGTCTAAGAGTGGGGCGTGGGCGTATCATTGTCCAAGCGTAATAATCAGTTTAAACTAGCAATCGGCTTACAATAGCGTTTTAAACAAACTACCTTAATGTACACGTCAGCGGAAAAGGTCGGTCACGATTGTTTCATTGTCAGCCATTTCAAAGGGTAGGGTTTGTTTAATGGGTATGTACATACCAATGCATGCATGAATGTATTTGCGTATGCTTGTGTTTGTGTGGGCGAGCAATGAACTTAAGCAAATATATACAGATGCAATATGAGAACGGAATAATAAAGAATATGTATATATTTTTGTACGGAGAATATCGCCGGCCGGCGAACAGAAGCCAAAATCAACCCACTCAATCCAACATTTTATAAATTTCACAGTAGTCTCAGTTTCGTTGTTGTTTGTTATCAGCAGAAACTTAAGAACATAACGAGGAACTTAATTAAAAATGTGTTTTATGCTTGCGATAAGCAGCTAGAAAAACACGCAGATAGGGGCCCGCACCCAAAATGATGTTAAATGTTCGTTCATGTTCCAGATTATTGGTACAGCATGCTCTTTATATACACTGCTACATATTTTACTTACGTGTCCAATAAATACATTTTTATGCCCGTTTCTTAGGTGCGGACATTGTAAACGTCTTAAGCCTGAATACGCCAAGGCTGCCGAAATTGTAAAAGATGACGATCCACCAATTACATTGGCCAAGGTAAATTGTGCTGATCAAATCCTATTAGCTTTAGGGCCTTTTTAGTCATGTTCTGTTTAAAAACAGGTTGATTGTACCGAGGCTGGAAAAGATATTTGTAGCAAATACTCGGTGAGTGGCTACCCAACTTTGAAGATCTTCAAGCAGGACGAGGTTTCACAAGATTACAACGGTCCTCGTGAGGCCAATGGCATTGCCAAGTATATGCGTGCTCAGGTGGGACCCGCTTCCAAGGAGATACGCTCTGTTGAGGAACTAGCAAAATTCCTGGACACCAAGGATACCACTCTATTCGGTTACTTCAACGATATCGACTCGAAATTGGCAAAGGTATTCCTTAAGTTTGCCGATAAAAACCGCGAGAAATATCGTTTCGGACACACCAGCAATGAAGCCGTGTTGAAGAAACAGGGAGAAACGTAAGTCCAGGGGCAAGATAAGAAGATTCAAGACTGAAAAAAGCAACAAGTCATATGCTAAATTTTTATCTTTTTTTTACAGTAAACCTTTTTATTATATATTTTATAAGCATAATAAAGTCTTTTTTAGTAAATACTATCTTTATACTATTTTCGCTTTCTTTACACAGCGAGAAAATCGTACTTATCCGCGCCCCACATTTGAGCAATAAATTCGAAGAGTCCACCATTGACTTCAACGGTAGCAGTGAATCAGATTTGATAACTTTCATCAAAGAGAATTTGTAAGTATTTTAATTAAGACATTAAGTGTTGGTACTAGTAGTTCAAGTAGCCTTAAGATAGTAATTTTCTTTTAATTTTAAACTGTTAGCCAAAATTCTCTGTTTTATTGTGTCCTCTAAGCTGATGTGATGGTATTTCTTGTACTTGTAGCCATGGCTTGGTTGGTCACCGCACACAGGATACATCCCGCGATTTTCAGAATCCGTTGGTCACGGCCTACTTTGCTGTAGACTATCAGAAAAATCCAAAGGGCACAAACTATTGGCGCAACCGCGTACTAAAAGTTGCCAAGGAATTTGTTGGTCAGTTGAACTTCGCCATTAGCTCCAAGGATGACTTCCAGCACGAATTGAATGAGTATGGCTATGATTTCGTGGGAGACAAACCCGTCATTCTCGCTCGCGATGCCAAGAATCTAAAATTTGCTCTCAAAGAAGAATTTTCCGTCGACAATTTGCGTAACTTTGTTGAGAAATTGCTGGCCAATGAACTGGAACCGTTTATCAAGAGTGAGCCGGTGCCTGAGTCAAATGATGCACCCGTCAAGGTTGCAGTTGCCAAGAACTTTGACGAAGTTGTCATTAACAATGGAAAGGATACATTAGTTGAATTCTATGCTCCATGGTGCGGTCATTGCAAGAAGCTGGCACCGGTCTACGACGAGCTGGCAGAAAAGCTGCAAAATGAGGAGGTGGCAATTGTGAAAATGGACGCCACAGCCAATGATGTGCCGCCCGAGTTCAATGTGCGTGGTTTCCCTACGCTCTTCTGGCTGCCCAAAGATTCCAAGAACAAGCCAGTTAGCTACAACGGCGGTCGGGAGGTCGATGACTTCATCAAGTACATTGCCAAGGAAGCAACTACGGAACTGAATGGTTATGACCGCAATGGCAAGTCGAAGAAGACCGAGTTGTAAGCGGGGTGATAGGACTGCATACAATTAGCATGTAACTAGCATTTCCATACTTTTGTAAAATCGAATGCATTCTCTTCAATTTATTTGATGTAAACAAGAAAACTTGTATTAAATTATTTAATAGTGATTATGATGAACACTAAGAACATGATGTTATATATAAAATTATGGCCAACTTTTTTTATGCCGCGTCGAACTTAAATACAAAATTCTGAAATAGTGATAACTTTTTTTCTAATCTAATGAATGAATGTGTAATAAACTATATACTTTATAAGTAAGGATTACGCATCTAATCAATGCATGGAATTTTCAAGATTATCCAGCATCATTCGGTACCAGTCCGGAATAAAGGTATATCTATTACGACCCTCGTAAACTTTATAAGTGATTTGTGCATTCATTGCATTAAAATCATATATATATACCGTACTTGCACTGTTCAAGTGGATCATTGTGCATTTTATGGTAGATAATAAACGCGCCATGAAATTCGCACAGACGGCGGTGGACCAATACTTTTCCTGGGAAATGAAATATATATATTTTAAAATCACTGAATGGAGGCAACGTATAAAACAAAAACTTACGCTTTCTTTATATATTTCGCGTGATTTCGTCCTTTTTATATGCACAATCCGTCCATTTTTGTCGCATGTGGCTATAAATAAGTCGTCTATTCCTACCAAATAACAATCTGCCCACCACTTAGTGGCCACGTTTAAATAATATTCGGACCATTCCAATTGACTCATGGTGGTTGGGCGAACTTTCAATTCAACGAAGTTGCTCTCAGCGTCACTACAATTTAAAGAAAATAGTACAGCGAATAAAACGTTAAAGTCAAACTCTGGAATATCCGTAGTTTTACAATAAAGCTGATCGATTTTGATAAAAAAAATCTTATAAACTTGTTCTGTGTATACATAAAACAAATCTATATATCCAGTTTAGTATACCTATCTGTTATGATTCGACAGTTCTCGAAGTACATGCGAACGGACAGGCATGTCCACATCGGCTTGTCTCACCATGCAGATTGTTTATTAACCTATAACATGGCGTCTGACGTATTTATGCTTGTTACATACATTTAGCGTTTAGACTTCCTAGAATACCCTTCCACCCTTTAGGTACAGGGTAAGAACATTAATAATAAAGTTTACAAGACTCACCATCGGTTTTGAGAATTTTCGACAATCATAGGCGCTTCAAAGATCATCTTGATTCCACTTATTGTTGTGCTAAAAACACAATTAAATGTTCCGTGCTTTTCTAAAGGCTGACTTGGATCAGGCATTCTGTTATTGGATTCTATTTTTGAATATATAGGTATACTATTTGTGGTTTTTTTTTAAATAAAGCTCCTACCGGACAAACAGTACTGCTTTAATTTCTCCAACCATGAATTGTTAATAGCAATATCTAAATGTGCCTGGTCTAAATGCAAACCATTAGTACGATCTTCGCTGTCAATTTCGCAAATATACATCGTGTTCTTATAGTATGACGCTGCCAATGTCCAGTTCCTTATTTTTTGATAGGGAGCGCACATCATTAATGAGATCACCTCTCGAGTGCAGACGAAATCCGCGTTCAACTGAATGGCTCCAACTTCGTTTCGAAAAAAAAATGCTTGCTGCTGCGTTTTTATAAAGTATAATAGATTGTCGAGAAAGAGTTCGTTTGGGTCAGCTTTGAGGCGAAAGACATCATGGGGTGGTCCATTAAGAGTCAGCGGTAGAGGAACTGTGCTTGGGTCGACCAAATAGCGCTTTCGTTCTTCTCCACGCTCAAAATCACCGTCAGGAGAAACACTAAAGTAGCCTTTTACAACAGGCTTAGAAATATGGGGAAATGCGAACTTATCTGCCTCCATTATGGGACGAACTTTTATATTTAGTATTTGATACATTTTCCTTTTATCTTCGAAGTCGCTAGGATCGAAACGAAAGCACCGTTATGTCGAAGACCATTAGTGATCGACATTAGCATTAGTTTCAAAATATCGATGCCTTATCTACTAATATCGATGTCTCTCTACTCGAATGCGCCCATTCGAATTTCGAATATTTATTAATGTATATTTTTGCATGAATATGTAATAAGCATATGAAATTGTAGGTGGTAAGTTTACCAGCTTATACATACTATAAAACACAAATAATACAAAGCGCGTAATCAAAAAAATATTACTCGATACTTCGATTAAGAGACGGTAGCCCTATCGGAATTTATGTTTGAAACGTGCTTGTTGTCTGGACACGCGCAGATGTAGATGTAAACTATGTTGTTTTTTTGCCCATCGTGCGGTAATATTCTAATCATCGAGGAGGACACCTCTAGTCACCGCCTTTCATGCAACACGTGCCCCTACGTCTCGAAGATCAAACGTAAAATATCGACGAAAACCTTTCCAAGACTTAAGGTATTGTTTACCATTTGAGGTGACGCAATTTTCTTACACAAAATGTTATTGCATTTTAGGAAGTAGATCAGGTATTAGGCGGCGTAGCTGCGTGGGAAAACGTTGATTCCACTGACGCCGAGTGCCCAGTATGTTCACATAAACGCGCTTATTTTATGCAAATGCAAACACGCTCAGCGGACGAGCCTATGACCACATTCTACAAGTGCTGCAATCATTTGTGCGGCCACAACTGGAGAGACTAGATGCGCCTTTTTCAACCGCTACTACGTAGTAGTCTACATGTGCTAAGCAGTAAATGTAGCTGTAGCACTATGCAACCACAACTGGATGAATTTCAAGATCCTAGTCGGACCACAGTTTGCGCAGTCGGTTCGACTCACGCACTAAAGCTTGCCCGGAAATGTTTACTTACCGGCAAGATTATAGCGCTGCCCACCGATACGGTTTATGGGCTCGCATGCGATGCTAATAATGAAAATGCCATTCAGCGGCTTTACGAGGTCAAGGGAAGGGATGAGCACAAACCGGTAGCCATTTGTGTAAAGGACATTGCAGCTTTGCGTCGCTATGGTGAGGCCTCGCATCTCAGGAATGAGCTTCTGACAAGTCTGCTTCCTGGACCCTTAACAATTGTGATCGAGCGCACGGCACATCTAAGCAATCGATTTCTTAATCCTAGCACATCTAAAATAGGCATACGGATACCTGATTTTACGTTTATACGTGATTTGTGCGCGACTTGGCACGAGCAGCCATTAGCGTTGACTAGTGCAAATCAGTCTGGTGCACCCAGTAGTCTTCGTGTTTCGGAGTTTCAGGAGCTGTGGCCTCGCTTGGGTGCTGTTTTCGACGCTGGGGAAATCGGCAAGACAGAAGAGCGACGGCTGGCCTCGACTGTGGTTGACTTAGCAACTCCCGGACAGTACAAGATTGTACGCGCGGGCGTAGCACTCAAACAGACATTGCAAGTGCTTCATGACTATGGATATAAAGCCAGCAATAGCTGAAATAAATAGTTGACAGCCAATTTGTTATATGCAGTTTTAATTTACTGCTTGCTATCATTTTAAATTTTGAACATTTTTCGCTTATAAATTAGCGTGCGTGTTATGAACATAAACATTACAAAATATACATAGGGTGTATCTTCTAAACAACTGCATTAAACTATCATAGGCGATAGAGCATCCAGTGATGCTTCCTTTCCAAGGGCCCCAGGCCGGCTCAGTCTTCTGGCTAGTTGTAGTAGCTTGTCTTAGCAACTTGTATGGGTCGGCGTCGTCCGGGCAACTCATTTTTAAGTATTCTCCATCGTTCTGGTGGCCAAACAATTGCTACTGCCCTCGCCGACATCAGTCCTATGGCCACCGGACCGAATGTGTTGCTATCAAGCGAGTGTCCAGTGTGATCCCCTTCCACCCAGCAGTGACCATCTGGCACGCGCACTATCTCATGTTTGTATCCCAATGTTGAAACGACATCGCCCTGCATTCCCACAACGCGTTTTATGATTTTTTGTGCGGGATCTTTTGGCGAGATTAGAGAAATTATGTCACCGCGTTCCACAGCACTGTTGTGTATGCCCCAACGTAACAGAAAAACGTAGTCACGCTCCTCCGCATCCGGATTCAGCACGGGCTGCATTGAAATTCCTAGAATCAATAATCTATTACTATATATATTGGAATGGATGCGAACCTTAAATTACCATCAACACGAGCCACATAGCCGACGCAATCTAGGAAAGTTATTCCTAGTGGCAAGGCGTAAAGTAAGGATTTGGCAAAGCGACGAAATGCCATGTGTTTCCAAACCTGCTTTTGTTATTTGGAGCCGCTTGCTTTTCACCCAGTCTGTACTACCAGCCTGACACTTTCGGATACAAATTCATTAAAATTAATACATAACCAGCATTTGACTGTTTCCCCAGCCTATTCTTTTTTGACATTCACAATGAAGCTATTGTTTATATTTTAGGACAGGGTGTTTTATTTGTCGTAGAGCTTAGATTTCTTTTTATATTGCGTTACAAAACATAGAAAAAGTGTTAAAATCAAATTGTAGCTATTGTACTATTATTGCAGGTGTGTTAGATTAAATTTTGAATTGGAATGAAAAGGTTCCTTCTCTAGCACCCTTCCAGCTCGCTTGGTATTGGTATATCATTTTGAATAGCAAATTGTAGCAGCGCCTTGTATTTGTTCTTCCAGTTGCCCACTTCTCGACGTATTTGCTCGTTGTCCTCATGCATGGTTTCTAATTCAGTCCATTCATACGATTTCTTGGTCTCTAACTCATCCTTCTGCTCAATTCGCTTGATGCGACATGAAGCTGCATAGCCACGATTTTTAAGCGTACGACGTCTTTGTTTCATACGAACAATTTCATCACGGTTAAGTCCACGCATTTTCAACGTGCGATTTAGATCCCGCACAGAGATGGTCACCAGCTCATCGTCTGTTATATCAGGAATGGGACATGGCGAGAGTGGTGCCTACGAAAAAAAGCAAACTTAAATTATTACGCTTAAACCAAAGGTGTATTTCAACAATTACGTACCAAAGAGGACTTTCTTTCTCGTTTGCCTTCCATGCCAATAAAAGCAGTACAGCAACAGGCAAAAAATTGTCTTTTGTTTATCGCACAAAAGATTTACGTATTTTACAATTCTCTTCTTCTTTATATTTGCCATTCATTGGGAGCACTTATTAGTACGTTGTGCAGCACTAAAAACTGCGAAGTGCCAGATCCGGCATTTATTATTTTGGTGTAGATGCGGACAAGGACGGAATTTGATCCAAATTTGTTAAATTTGTTTAGTGGGAAATAAATTACTTTCTAAAACGCATTTTCTTGCGGCATAGGCAAAATGAGCTCAAAGGTATTGTACAATAACGTGCCGAGCGTGCCATGCCAATCTGCGTTGTCCGTTGTCACCCCCGACGGCGGCTTTTTATATGCCGGCTTGCGGTGCATTAATTACATTGCAGCGCCTCCACCGAATGGTAAGGAGACGCCGGAAATGAAAAACATGTCTGTTCGCGTTGGTATCATTGCCTTGGATGTCAATCCTTTGTGGGGTAAGCCAATTGCTAATGACTCTAAAAAACATGGAAAATATTTTGCGATTGTCGGCGAAGATTTGAGTGTTCAAGTTTGGGATTGCACAGCTGGAGAAGCTGTAAGTGGCCATAAAGCGCACCAACATCAGCAAGAGGCGCGCGAGCTTGGCCCCCGTTATTCATCAAGGGCGGTGGTCATGAGTTACATGTCCAATGGCAACATACTGTCGATGGATGTGAATGATTTAGTCATCTACTGCGTCGTCTCCAATTCCTATTGCCGACGTCCGACGTTCATTCCCTCAAGGAATCATGACGTAACCCTATTGCGCTGTTCTCCATACAACGATGGCTTGTTTGCCGTGGGTACGGCTTCCGGCATTGTGATGGTTTGTGATTTGCGCCAGATGAGCATCAAATACAAATTGCATAGCCACAAGGATCATATAAGTGGCTTGGCATGGAGAGAAATCGGTTTTAAGGATGAGAATCTGAGCCATTCCAATGAAAACTTAAAGCAACTAGCCACCAGAGCCGAACACTGGCGCAGCCAAATCTTAGCCACTAAGAATGAATCCACAGTTGAGAAAGTGGCCTCAGCCGTGACTAAGCCTTCTAATGTTGATTGTTTGGAAACAATAAAGTGCAATGACGGAGATATGTTTGATATATACAACTTTGATCACTTGGATGGCGAATTTGGGGCGCCTTCACGCCAGAATATATGTAGCAAATCATTTGATAATTGTAATGATTTCGTGGGCGTTGAAAAACTGTCTACCAATACTGCTGGACATTCACTCGATTATGTGGAGGCATGTGAGAACTTCAAAGCTGAGCTTCAAGCGCGCTCTGATGGTGCAGACGTTGAAATAACTGGCAAAAAATTATTAGATACCCCGCCAATAGAGGTCACTTTAGCAGACTGCAAACAGGTAAAAATGTTAGAACAACTGAGCAATAGCAGCAACAACAGTGAAACCCCGAAGCAGGATCAATTTGACACCCTGGGCAGCGAATCCACGGAGGGCAGTCTGGAGGTCATTAACTATATCTACTCCAGTGATGATGCTGAAATCGTTGATGGGGATGCACCAAAGCCAAAACGCGAAGTGCTTCATCACATTTATCATCAAGCGGAGGTACATGTGACCCAATTTCCGCCCGAAACAACACAGCATCAGACAAACAAACCGCAAGATTTTCAAGAAATAAGCGTAGAAACCAATAGCGATGGCACTTCAACTCCGCGTCCAGAGAAAGACATACTGTTGGTGTCCATTGATGTGAGCGATACAATAACGATTTATAACACAGTCACTGGCGGTATTTGTGGCAAAAAATTCAACAGAACCAATGCTAGGGGTGAGTTCCACACAACTAAGTTAAAATATCTGATTGGTCGTAACGTAATATCTTGAATATGAAACTAGCATTAAAAATCTAAAGATTGAAAATTCCTAAAACCCGTTAGTGATTATATAAACAGACTATAAGAAATTATATAATGATAAAATTAAATAAATAAATAAATCGAGAAACTAAACTCAATTTCAGGTAAATTCAGCAACGTTCAGTGGTTGCACGACAATGCCATTGTTTCCCTTTCGAAAAACCAGTTGCTCTTTTGGTCTCTTGAAATCGATGGACAATCGAAGCGTTACAAAATAATTAAATCAAATCTACCTAAGTGTTACCTTAGCGATATAATATCATTTGGAGTCTGCCCAATTACACAGCAGATTTGGTTGTGCGTCAGAGAATGTGTGAATCTTTACAACGTAGTCACATCTGAATTGAGTCTTAACTATAATTGTGTCTCGTTTGCTGTGCGCGCCATTGCCGAGTGTCCTGATGATGTCAATAAGTATATAAAAACATTCTACACTTGATAATATTGATCATATTAAATTTATGCTCGATCTTTGACAGAATCGCCTTAGGTTGCGGCAACAGACGTGTCTCCATATTCGATCTATCCAAGCTATCACCACGTTGCATTCCAATTAAAAGTATTCATGTCAACCAATCTGTCTACTCGCTTTCTTGGAGTCCGGACTCAACCCAATTGGCCTACGGCACTTTTGACGGTTCTGTAAGCATGAAGCACCGATGAATATATTTTTATTAAGCACAACAAAATATATATCAATATTAAATTTCTGTCTGCAGGTGGGCATCATTGATGTGGAGCGCATGAAAACGGTTACAACCTTTTATACCACTTGCAAGAAGGAAGTTTATTCCTTGGTGTGGCACGACAAGTTCATATTCTTTGTTACCAGTCGACTGATTGGTGTGTTCGACATCCGAGCCGCAAAGTCAGGCAAGTATTTTAATAATGTTGACGCGTATTATAGGTTTGGTTTTGAGCATTTCGGCGTCCAAAACTTATTTTGGTTTGGGAATCATGCGTCTGCCGTTTCCGTATCTCCGCCTTATGTATAGTATCTCGATGATAATCCCAAACATTCCAGGTTACATTTATCCAATTTGGCACCGATAAATCATTCGTAACAACCATTTCGGTTTGACCATTGAAATCTTTGCTCTTCGCCGGCTTCGGTTTCTTCCTATATAAATCATGTGCAATCATGGCATCAGCCAAATTGAACAACAACGCAACATTGGCGTTTGTAAATACAACCTTTCGAAAGGAATTAATAAACTTTTCAAAATAAATCTCTGCCACACGTAAATACGATTTGTCGCGGAAACCGAATTTGATGTCCACATTCGTACAAATGTTGTGCTCTATGGTCGCTGGTAACAACAAACCATTGGTCATTGCTAGGGTCAAAGCACAGCATTCCTTTACATCAGTTTGCTGTAATACCACAAGAAAAAAATCATATTAGGCAGGGCATAAAAAACCAACTAAATTGAGTGCAATTACGAATTTTTGAATGTTTTTCTATTTTTAGGACGTTAAAAAAAGTATAGTCCAAAACTTTGTTGCTGAAGCTTTGTCTGCTCTAAATTGCATGTTAGATATTGGCCCATTATTTCTGTACTCGAAGGGTAGTAAGTAAGTATTAGAAGAGTAAGTAGTATCAGAAAGAGGCGTGGCAGATCCAAAATTATAGGTACATAACCATAACAGATGCTGATTGAGTACAAACATAATTTCTATATTTGACAAAATACTAACACTTTTCTATTAAATCTTTTTTTTCCTATTTTTGATTTTTTTTGTTATGCACTTCTTACTTACTGCTATGCTACAAAAGTCAGCTTCGGTTTTGTAATCCTTGACGGCGTCCATGAGCTCTAAAATTGTGCGCTTTTGGGGATACTTTTGACGCTGGCCCAAAGCATGAATTTCTTTTGCGATCGATTTAGCCGCTTCTTCTATTTCATTTGTCACCAGGGGCTCTAATTGCTCTCGCAACTTGTTAAGCTCTACTATGTGATTTAGGTAATTGTTTAAATTATTCCAAACTTCTCCTAGGTATACAAAATGGGGCTGCCGTAAGCATGTAATTAAAATTTGATTTATTTCGGATGAGAAATGGATACAACTTACGAATACTAGCTCGGACTCTATAGCGGTGCGCATAACAAGCGTTTCGTTTATTTTTGCTACCACACAGTCGTATCGTTCCCTTTCTCGATTTAGAAGATAAGCAGTGCTTTCAAAATTTTCTTGCAATAGTCGCAGGCAACGTTCCTGAATCGAAAATGTGATCGAATATTGATTCAGCCACTGCAGCTTCTCCAATGGAACTCTATAGACGATAATGTTCTCCCTTGTATCGACGTCCAACTGCTCTGAGATTACAGAGTGACAGATAGAACGCAAATGGTGCAGACGCTTCAATGTTGTTTCAATCGCTTCGCTGGTATTCTTTTGCGCCATCATCAGATCACCAATCACTGCGAAGAACAAGTAATTTGTATCATCAATGAAATGCTCTAGTCTTTGCGTCAACATACCGTATCTCACATTTTCCCGATCACCATCAGGTCCATCGTTGTGATAAATAACAATGCCGCTAACCGTCGCAGCGAGACGCTTAAGATATTCCAAGCGATGGTATTTCTTCTTCAGCACATAGTTCTGCAGATCAGTTCGACCAATTACACTGTTCAGCGCTTGTGCCGTCAGCTTAAGAAGCTGTCAGAACAAGTCACATGATACATAGAATTATGAAATAAAATCAATTTCAAATCATAACTTATACTCACAACATGGTTTTTGGGACACCCAAGATTGTAGCACACGACAATGAGTACCTGCATCTTGGCAAAAAGCTGATCTAACTGCACTTTGCTGCAATTTTCCGGATATTGAAGTATGTCTTGAATGAGTAGTTGGAGCTGCTGTTGAAATATCTGCTCGTATTTCTCTTGCACATAGGACAGTTTTATTTCCCTGGTGGTTTTCATAAGCCAGATCATTTTTAAGTTAGCCATGGTTGTGTTCTTGGGATCTGTATAGCCGGAAATTATGTCGTCGATAAATCTGTTTATTGTACAGGCAGTCAGATTGTTGAGATCGCATTTTGTAATTCCAAGACGCATATCGCGTGCCAACAATTGAACTGCAAAGACGACCAGGTTCACGTCCACTTCAATATCGCGCTCCTTGAAACGTGTCAATATATTTTGCAAAATGTTCCGAATTGTTTTTTGGTACGACATGTTATTGGGGTTTTCCATCATTACAAAAAAAACATGTAATTTTCTTTACTTATAAAATGTGAAGTTGAATAGAAATGAGTTTAACCCGCATGCTTTGTTATAATAACCCCCCTGTGTTGCCCTAGTAACGCTTTCTTGACTCCCTTATAGATGGGCCTAGACTAATAAAGAACATAGTAAGCCCCAGTTATGTGAGTGTGCGCGGCGATTTTCTGTTTGTCGGGTCGGACAGCGGACAATTGCAGCTTTTCAAACTCAAAGAGGATTGCGAACTCATCTACATCAATCTGCGTCAATTATCGCTGATGTCGGGATATATCACAGACATAGTTTGGAATCCCTTCATATCCAATCAATTTGCAGTTGTCGGCCGAGACAAGTTCGTGTTTATTTTGAACTTCATAGAGGAGGAATCGAAATTCACAATACTGCATTCTTTTGAAGCTAGCGATAAGAAAGCGTCCATTACATCAGCCAGGTGGAGCAGCACGGACTCCCATTTATTGCTCACATGTCACATCGAGGGAAAGATCTGTTTATGGAATACCAAGGAACCGACTCAGGAACCATTAACCATCATATTTCCGTGCCCCATGTGGTGTGGAATATTTTTACCCAGCGACGAGAATGTTATCATGTGTGGTGGAAAGGCAATCGCATTGGAGTTTGTCCATATAAAGGAAGCACTGCAGAGGAAGGAGAAGACCATTTGTTCCAAGGTGGATGCTCTATTGAATGTTAAGTGGGCCACCAAGTCACTCACCCAGCCCTACATGCTGGCCATGACTGCAGCGGAGAAAAAGCGTCAACGCAAATTGGAACGTCGTCACGAGAAGAAAAAAAATTCACAACTACGTCAAGATGAACCAATAAAAGCAAACGAACAGGAAGAAGGTGATAAATCACAAGATATGGAAACTCAGCAAGTAACATATGGAAACAATGCTGGAGAATCGTTCGCCACTCTAATCAATCCCACAAATTGTGAAATGCCCGTTGAGAAAATGTTGCAGGCACTAAACCTGGATACTTCCGAGGGCAAAGAGCAATCTGCTAACTTTTTAGCTGTAAGTTATAAAACTAAATGCAAGTTGAATTCGTGAAAAATTCGTTCTCTGTTTATTGCAGCATAGTCGGACCTCGCTATACCTTACACAAAAGGAGCTTAACAGAAGCCCTCTGGAAAAGTTGGCCGTTGTGCTGACGGAAAATTCTGCCAATATCGAACAATCTGTGCTTGTGGCCAAACTATTTAGCACCAAGGTGGTGGCCAAGGAGCTTCTTGCCACAGAGCGTAAGTTAACATTAAGCAAATAAAGCTGTAAAATTTTTGACATTATTGCAAATGATTGTTTACATCATGTCCTACAATACAAACGATCGACTAATTTTGCAATTAAGATTTTTTTTTCTCACAACTTTTGTAAAAAAATTTTCCAGTCCAAAACTTAAAGAGCTCCGATAACAAAGGCATTGCACCTCTTTGGTTGATTACGGCCAATTTTAAATTGCGCGATGAGCTGGAACAGCACATTAATAACAAAACACTTACCGAATGGCATTTAAGTTTGGCACCTTCGGTCTCCTATAAGTAAGTATATTATTTAACTGTATGTACATATACAGATAAAGAAACCAACTAAATTTTTGGCATTACAGTTTTTGGATTCAATGCTGTCAGGCTTTTGCCGAGCAACTGCTGGACCAAGGATACATTTTGCATTCTGCTATGTATCTAATGGCCATACACTTGCCCACCGATGCCATCAAGCTGCTAATAAGCAATGAATTCTATAAGGAGGCATTGTTATTGGCTCGTGTCTATTTGCCCGCCACTGATCCCATAATTAGGCAAATTATTAACCAATGGCTAGAGCAGCTTGAAAAAATTGGCAATTTGGGAGCCGCTGCACTTATGTAAGTTTCATAATTTACTGATGCCATTGCATGTGTTTCTAATTACTGCTATACCTTTCCAGTTGCGTGCTGGATAACGAAATGATGCGCGGTTACTCGTATTTGCGCAAATTTCGCAACTGCACAGAAGAAGTTGCTAAATTAATGGAGGAGATAAAGCGAATTGGTCAGCTCGACCCACTTCTAAATGAAACTGATCCTGGCCCTGAAGAACAGTTGGCAAAGCAAGCCAGCGAAACTGTTCTTGCAGTTTCCGAACAGAATTAAATTAAATTAAGCTGAGGCCAAAGCAACTTAGGCTGTTTTTTGTGTATTTAGGAATAGTTGAACAGAAAAATGTAGTTTATCGCGCAACGAAAAGTTAACTTTAACTTTAAAAAACAACTGTGTGGGGATTTGGAAAACCTTCCCAGTGAACTGCTTACATTTCAGCCTTAGAGTTTACTGTTAAACTAAGGCTGTATATTTGTTAAAACGAAATCTCATGTAATTCGTACTTAGAGGTCATAGACATATCTTAATAGAGCAACAAAACGCATAGAAAGCAGAAATAATTTGTAAAAAATATAGAAACAAAAAACGAAAAATGATAAAAAACTGAAGAGAAATATTATTTCATACAAATAAAAGAAAATTAATACGCGTCTGAAGTCTTTTGTAAAATTAATTAGAACAAAGTCAATGCGGTCCGAAGTGTAAAGCTGTGGTCTTTTGTACGCATGCGTAAAAGCTGGACAATGAACGTCTTACCGTTAGCTAGCACAACAGAAAAGCTTTTCTGTTTTTGTTAGTTTTTTTTTTTATATGTTTAAATTATGCAAATGCAGCGCGACGGCGACGTCATCAACACCATCGTCGTCGACTTCAACTACGAATTAAGTTTAATTGTTTAAACTTACTACAATAAAAGATAGAAAGAAGAAGAAGGGCTAGTGAACTTGCTGTAAAGTAAAACTACAACCAAAAGATCATAAAAATTTGAATAAACAACGACAGAGCGATGTTGTGGCTGAGAAGTGCTGCCAGAAAAAAGCCAGATCAGCAAATGAAGAAAGCTAAAAAACAACTAATTCTTATACTAGTAAAAGGCAAGAAAGTAATTTTTCTAGATTTAAAAACTCTACCGTTTAATTATTTGTGATTACATAATACAATATTCGCGTAACACTCAAGTGGTATTGAAATTGGTATACTATTATTATAAATTTTAATTTTTAGTTTCTTATATTCAAAAACAAAAATTAGCATTCTTTATGTTTATTCTTAAAAATATCGTTCCAATTTCTTCTACTTGATAAATTGTTGGTGTTCAGATTGAGTTTCATATATGCAAATACAGAAAATACAATTACCCTATATAGTTAGGTCAGATGTAAGTACAAGTATATCTTAATACACCAATGTGCTTTGACCAGTAATAACCAACAGAACTTTTCAAAACGATATAAATCCAGGCAGCAGTAATTTCGGCACTTGAGAAACTTCAGAACTAGCTAAAAATGGTGACAGCTATAGTGTTGCCAACACTGCTGCTGAAAAGCGTCGACAGCAGGCAAATCCAACTGCGAGCTGGGAATTGACAATTCAGTTGCTAAACAGCCAACGTAGCGTGTGGTTGTGGCTATAAAGCCGGTCCGGTTGTTGAATGCGAGTGCGTAAACAGACGCTTGTTGCTTGAGTCTTTCGATTTTCACTTTTTACTGTTGCTTTAGGTAAGAGAGCGAGAGAGTGCGCGCGCGTTGACGTACCGTTGTACGTTACGGTTTCTGCAGTACGAAACGCACAAACTCACGCACACAGTCACACTTCTCATAATCAACGTATGTTGTTCAGTGCTGCATATTCTTTAGTGTCAGAAAAAGCTAGATCAGTAATTGTAACAAGTTAGATATATATATACATAATAGGTTAATAACTGTTAATGCTTGTTTAAAGCTCTTATCGTTTTTATCGTCTTAAAACTTCACTATAATTTTTTGCTTAATCGGTATAAGATTAGTCTGTTTGAATATGTTGCAGCTTTTTTGACGAGTTTATATTTGTTGGCAGAAATTTATTCTACGACTTCAAGTAGAACATTTTCGTTGCCTTACGATATACAATTTTTAACAATGATTTGCAGGCAAGACATATTATTCTTATGATTGCTACACTTTATTATGATAACAAAATACTAATAAAAAGAAAATGACACAATAAGAAATAAAATCATCAAACAAAAACCGTAGATCACAGTTTTTTTAACTAGACACTATAAAAAGTGGACTATAGAACGGTATTTGATTTGAAAAAAAAAAGCCCATCCAAATTTACAAAAACGTAATAAATCCAGTCATTTGCGATTTCTTCCGGAATCGGCATTTAAAAAACGGCAAAACTGGCGGGTAAATAGCGTAATTGGCAACACTGTTTGTCATAGCGCCAACGTATTAAATCTCTTTAAAAGCTGACGAAGAAGAAGAGCACACTTACCGGATTGCTTGGCATCACGTCTCAATGGATGGCTTTGTGATGTTATTCTCACGCAAACTTTGACTTTGTGCGAGCTAAAAACAATAACAAACTGACGGAGTTGTACAATCAAATGACAATTAAACTATAATTAGGTATGTTCAAATGAATTTCGCTTTTGGTTGGCAAACATAAGTATGTTTAATTGCTGTGCGAGTAAAAGTGTTAGAACAAGTGCCCAAGTGTGAGTTTATTAAAATGTAAAATTTACGCGCGCCCACATTATATGGTGTATACAAGTATGTATGTGTTATTGTTTGTAGTATTCAAAAGTGTGTGTATTTTTTACCTGCATGTGCTCATCTCCTTCTTTAGAAGACTGACAATCAAATCACACACACCCGTTTCGCGCATGACTCAACGCTTAACAATTTTTTGTGTGTGTCGCCGCTTGAGTCTGTTTTTTGTATTACTATACACTACTATAGCGATACTACCTATGTATGAATGTACAATCATACATACATACATATGTATATATGTAGAGGGTAGAGCACTTTGTGCATGTGAAGTCATTTCTTGCATGAGTGATATGTAATTTCTATAATCCATGTTTAGTTTTTGTTGCCTGCTGTTCACTTTCAGTTGTTGTAACTGTTGGCGGATGCCTGTGCTAAGTGAAAGGTAAATGTAAAATAAATGCATATCTACATATGTATTACATTAATGAAACGCATATTTTAGCTTACACGCACCTACATACTTGTATATAAATAAAAGCCTATAGTATACAAATTCCTTGAAATGCTTCCATACTAAAAGCTAATTTCTTTGCTTTGCTGTTAGTTTTCGTATTATTTTTTAAATTTATGTCAATTTGCATAACACTTCGCTGCATTGTTGTTTATTCATGCATTCAATCATATTGTGATTTTGTTTTGCGCCGTGCTATTGAACTCGACGGTTACGTCGTTGTGCGACGCACGCAACTGCAACAGCAGCAACATTTGCCAGCAGCGGCAAAAATATAATAATAAAATTAATTTAATTTTACAGCCAAAGCGCAGACAACACAGAAGACAATCATATTTATACATACACACAGGCACAGACACGAATACTCACAGAATACAATGCTCATGTATTTTTGAATTATTGCACGCATTTCTGTAGCGTTCCTTTTTTTGTTGTTGTTTTTCTTCATTATTATGTTTCGTTTGTAGCTTGGCAGCAGCTTTTATTTGGCGCAAAGACCACAGAAATTAGGTTGAGCTCGTCTTTATTTGCCTTAAAAATCTGCATAATTTTGTAATCCATGCATACTAGTTTAAGTTAAAGCACATGTAAATTGTTGTTGTTGTTGTTGGAAACGGCTGCAAAGTAAAAGTTGAACCATAATTCCGAGCGTGTCAATTGAAATTCAATGGCGTGGCCGACACCTACAAATTATAGAGATTATGTTGTTACCCAATGGCTGAGGTACTCGCTCATCTTTCACAGAAAAGCTCCGCACATTGCATGCTTAACTCATCTTTACTGAAAATGGCTGAAAATAGTAAATTAGATTTAAAAAAAAAATTGACAACATTTTATTGTAGCCTGGCATACGTTAACGAGCTAGCAGGAATCACACAATGTGAGTTTGTTCCTGAGCATTTTTAAAGTAGAAAAGTTGTACTCGATTTGTATTTATTAATATTTAAATATAACTTACAATAAACATTTACGTGTATACTGTGTCGGGGAGTATAAAATTCTTGATGTAGCTTCTTTACAGAATTAAGCAAAGAAAATGTGTGTTCTGTTTTTAGAGTTTTCTGCTCCATGACTTACGAATAATTCCGAATCTTCTAAATATTATAAATTTAATATCCATTTTCTCAGCTATGAAGAAGTGTAGCTTAATTTTTCCGAGTCTGTTGAGCCAATTCGAAATTCTTTAATTTACGTATGAGACTCAATTAATTTAAAAGTTCCAAAATAATTTCAAGAAGTCATTTTTGATTTTATTTTCCATTATCACCTTCGTTTTTTTCAAATTTATACGTGTAAAATCATTTTTCAAAGTAAAATTTTGATTGGATGCCTTTAATATATACGAGTACTATACATCACCTTGAGCAACCACATTATTCGACAACAAATTTTATGCAATTTTCTGACGATTATACAGTTTCTTTAAACGAGATAAAGCTTTACTTGCAAACGAAGCAAACAAAAAATGTTAAGCAGTTTGTTGCCAATAATAGAAGGCTTTCATAAACTCGTTCTAGCAACCCAAGTTATAGTCTCGCATACCAATCGGGTATCAGAAGACAAAAACAAAATTAAAATAAACAAAACCGACCAGTTTAGGAATTGCGCTCAATGTTTGGCCAACGAACTTGTGTGGGGACTGAAGCACAAGTACTTGCAATTCTTTGTTGCTCCATCCGTCCGGAAAGAAGAAAGCAGAAGACAGGGAGAGGCAACAATAACCATGGCGGAATATTAATGGATGACCGCACGACCGACTGACAATTTAAGGCGCGCATATCCGGCGCATCAAGTGACAATACCTTCCATATGCTGGCTTTATAGTCATAGAGACGTACCCTACCCCGACACCCACGCGTCGCACGCACCTGAAAATGGCAATCGTCGGAGACGGCGCACCTGCTGCGACGACGGCCTTAATGGCAAGCAGCTTGTGAATATACTCCGAAATCTACAGTGATGGGCTTAGTTTGATGGCAATGCGCCCGCCAGTTGTTGGCGTCAAGTGTACGCGCTGGCGTGTCGCTTATGTCTGGCCTATAATTGATTACTATATTTACTCATGGCATTAGCACACAGTTTAAGGTGCGCGCACATAAATTTGTTTGTCATGACATAATATTTGTGGCGACTGAGCAAATGGGCTACTACATACATACTATGCATAAAGTTCAATATTTGCAAAACTATCTGTATTCAAATTAGGCCTAGGATAAAAAAGTTGGTAAAACATATATATGTAGAAGGCAGTAGTAGATGTGACGGACCGAATGTTATAAATAAATACACTATGAACGCGATTAGACGAATCGATATAGATAAAAACCAAACATACGGTAGAGGGTATTCAAGAGTTGTGCTGGCGCGTTTTAGTTATTAATGAAGATATCTAAAGAATTTACTTTATAATATAGCTGATATAGGAATGATTGGTACAACAAATCTTGTTTAATTGAGCGACTGTGGCGGGACGATAGACCGTGACTTTAACATTTCAGTTTGTCGACACTTGACTGAGGAACAAAAGACTTAGGCAACGAACTTCTGAATCTAACCTATCAAAAAATTTCCATGTGTGCATGTGTTTGTTTGTATCTGTGTGTTTGTGAAAAAGTGAAAAGCTTTTGTTGCTAGCTAGTCGATAGTCAATATTAACCGTTAGCATGCTTTACGGCAAAACAAGTTCGTTGCCTAAGTCTTTTGTAGTATAGAACGCACACAGCAGCCGCCTGCACACAAACAAAATTACATTAAAACACACGCACGCACACACACGTATAGAGACACCTGCACATCGATACAAGTGAATTCATTCTCATTTCAGCCAGCACCAACATACCATGACAGCGCTCAATTAAGCTTCTTAACGCTTTCATCAACCATCCCGCCGCAGGCATCATCACCCAGTCAGTCGAAGTATATAGTAAACTGAAAAATCATTCAAACATAAAGCGCACAAGCCAACAACAAGCCGACCAAAGCATCAGCATCCAAGAACTAGCGCAAAACTAGAAATTATCGCACTACTGACCTCCTCACCAACAACAAAAACAAGCATAACATAACTGGCAAAGAGTTAGGCCCACGAAATACATACAAAAAAATAAAGCGCTTTAAAAATTATTTTCTTTTTTGCCAACAACACCGCAAAAATGAATTATCAGAAGGCCAGTGAAACGCATTCGCCGTCCTCGTTCAAGAAACGGCCAACGGGCAGCGGCAATAGCATACAAAACTTTTGGAACGATCGCATAATGGAGCGATTTATAAAAGCGAATCTATTCATTATTTGCTGTGTGGCGGCAGGACTACTGCTGGTAAGTTATTCTATATTTAACTATTATTATTTATATTTAACTATTAATGTTTGGGTATGAGTATTCATGTGTGTATTCCGCATTATTCTGAATACTCTTTTAGGGGGAAAAATTATTCGAATATTAATTCATTATTTTAGGCGTTGTGTCATAATAGAATAATTTTTATAATTTTTTTTTATTATTAAAAGTCCGCATAATTAAACATATTGCATTTTTTAAAGGGACTGGCTTACGGGTTGACTCAAATATAAATCAAATACAGTCAAGTAGCGTATTGTTTCTAGACATTTTATAAATCTGGAGCTAACTTAAAGCATTTCAGGGGTTTCAATTTTACTTTCACAATATTTAAGAATCATTTGAAATAGATTACTATTCGCCATCCAAATCTACCCAGCAGATTTAAAAAAACTTAATGTAAAGCTTACGAAAAATTCAACTTACAGGCCATTTGACATCGACATATACGTACATACATACTATACATAGGTATAGTTATTTCTAAATAAACTAAGTATACTCAGCAAACGATAAGGTGCCCGAGAATGTTATAAATGCAACATTTTCTATTCCTTTATATTATTTAGACCAATTAGGTGCTTGACAGATCTCAACTAACTAAGCAAATAATTTCCACAAAAATATTTCTGTTTTCAAAATGGTTCGCTTAAACAAACTTTCGTTTCTGTAAAAACGAAAACGTCAAAGAAAAGCGTTCAGTCTTCCAACTAGATACTGTACTTTATCGAAATACAATGGCATGACCTAATTAAATCTATTAATTGGATTTAAATATTTGGTCTTCAAGAGATGCCTACATTCGACACACACACACATCGCTGATCCGGCGGCGTACGCAACTGTAGATTGAATTTAAAACCAAAACAAAAATTTCTGGTTAGTATTTTGTGGTCAGCAACGGTGTCCGAGATGTTACCGTTATCAGTATGTACGTTACACTTCGTTGCGGCTATCTATAGATGTATATATACACGAGTATGTATGTATGTTTGTAAGTCTGCAAGAAAAGTGTCTTCTACTGATTTGTGTGATTTTCTGTCGACCGGTGCTGCTGCTACTGCTGGACTCGATCTCGATACAATTTCGCGCTATTAAGTGAAAATGAAATCGTTTTACGAATTCGCAAATGTTAAGTTTCTGCTTTTTTTTTAAATTTTTTTGTACCGGCCGTTTGTTGTTCGTGACGACGACTTGACTGGCAGCTGGGGACTGAACGGGACGGAGCGGGCGTATGTGACAGTTGCTATACGCTCATTAATTGATTGATGGATGGTTGCGGACCAAACTGTCTCGATCGCCGTTGTCGGGCAGCAGTAACGGGGGCAGCAACAGCATTTGCGTTTTGTTGTCTTCGCTTTAGTTTATTTTTTTGTTCGTTTGGAATGCATTCATTTGTTTGTTAATTTATGTTTTCGCTTTTCTTTTACCGGTTCACATCTTTTCCCTAATCGATGACTTTTCTCTTGCAGATCGTCTACTTGGGCGCCTTCTCATGTGAGGTCTCTTGGATACTGGAGGCGCATGGTGAGCTGCCATTTGCCGCCTACACACTGTGCACGCTCTACTTTGTGGTGTTTGTGGCGACGACGATCTTAATTCATGGACTGGTGACTGGGCTGCCGTGGGGGCTGTTCGCTTGGTCAGCGGTCATTGGTCTACTGTCCATACCTGAGCTGATCTTTGTGATGATTATGACGACACAGCATTGGGTAAGCAGTGGATGGCTCCGTGCTGGAATTTCCAGTAATGAATGCAACGCGAATTTTTTTGTTTCAGGGCCTGCAATCGGTGCATGGCCTCACGGAGCTGACGTCCTATCTAATACGACTGATCATCAACTGCTTTGCTCTGATTTGTGTGATACCCACAGGCATTAGGTAAGCATATCCACCTGGTTGTTGCTGTTTAATGTTTATGAAACGTTGCCTCCGCATGTTTTCAGGTGGCGCCGTGAGGCTCAGGTGCTCAGTCAACTCCAAGGCCTTGCCACACGCCTCTCCTTACAAACACCCGCGCCCAGCGTACCCATGACCAAGGCAGACTCTCGCCGCTCAAGCCAACGCATGAGCGGCTTTGAGAATGCCGGTTACCAGTTGTGCGACGAGACCAAAATCCCGTTGGGAGGCTCCCAAGCACAGGGCCTCAATTTACTGAACAATCACAGTGCAGCAAACCAAATATTTGGCTCACAGAACGAGTTCAATGCCAGCATGTTTGCGCCTGCCTTCCTGCAGCAATTCAATAATGCTGCGCTGCAGCATGGTGGACGTGGAGCCGCCAATGGTGGACATCGGGCGCAGTCGCTCATGGATTTGCGCTGCACGCTACCCGGCATGTACAATCCAAGACACGTGCTGGACACGGAGGACAAGAATGCCAAGTACTTTAATATTACAATTGACGATTTAAAAAACAACTTGCAGGACTCGCACAAGTCGCCTCCTTCGCTGATCGGCTCGACAAATAATGATCCGATATACTGCTCCATTGAGCCCAAGCAATTGACGCCGCCACCACCAAACAGTGGGGCGCGACATCATCATCATCATCACCACCAGCAACCCCATCCGTTGCCACAACAGGCAGTGGCACGGGCTCAGAAACAGCCCACAAAACTTGCCCGCAATTGCATCTCGCTGGAGAATCTGGATGGGATTAGCAAGGTGCAAAATGATCTGGCCTATGGCAACAATCTGTTGCAAAACTACACCCAACAACAGCAGTACTATCTGGCCATGCTGGGATACCTGAACCCTCTGCATCAGCACAACGTTAATCTCTATAGACGACCCTCGAGCAGTTCGACATGTGGTTTTCCCGGCCCGATTGCCGTCCAGAGACGTAACTCCCAGCAACAACAGCAGTTACAGTACTACGGCGGCTTTGGCTATGCCAATTATGCGAACCCATACATTACAGCGAACAGCAAACTTTCCCTTGGAAATGAATCGGACGATTATCGCAAATATCGCGATGTGGCGCTCTAGTGTTGCGCTTTTAGGCTAAGGTGCTAATTCAGTGTATAGATATGCTATATACTTATATATATGTATACTCATAGTTCGTAGTAAGTAACTACTAGACAGACTACCATAATGACATTCCTGGGAGTAATGACCAAAGAGCCACAAACTAACTCAATTCGTAAATAATTGCAGAGTTGCGATTTCTACGCAGCCAACTGTGGACTCCAAGTGGGGTGCAGTTTACTTAGATTTAGGTTTAAGGAGATGGGCAGAAATATTGGTCCTGAAACCCACCACCCACCTCAAAAAAATCAAATTAACATTATTGGAGGCCTGTTCCCATTTTCGAAGATGGCTCACTCGTAATTACTTTTTAAAATTATTATTTAGAGACCTTTTTATACTGCGACAATAGGAGGTCGAGGTGAGATGGAATCGTTTAGGCTTTGCACAAACCTCAGCACTTTGTTCGATTTAGGTCTTCAAACTATTATTGCAACTTTTCTTGGGAACACAATATAATGTTGCCAGAAATGCCGAGCGGTTTGAAATGTTAATATCCCGAATACGGGAGGAACTTGCCCATCTCTCATCCTTAGTTATATTTTAAAAAAAGTTGATTTATTGTATATAATAATGTAGAAATAAAAATACACGTTTTTAAATGTTTAAGGGCCAAGCAAATCAGCCAATGGGTTATCCGGTGAAGTTGCTACAGAAGTTTTACTTTGAGCAACCTTATTAACACTTTCCACTTTCTTTTTCTGAAGGGAACTAGCAGACTTCCTTTGTCTTGTGGTTCCGCCTGTTGCTACACTCCCGAAAAGATCATCATCATCATCTTCATCACTGAAAAGGCTGTTACTAGCCTTTTGGGCAGCGGTTTGAGTTGCCCGTGAGGGGACAGCTGGTACGCTCGCGAAAAAGTCATCATCTTCATCGCTGTCGGAAAAAAGTCGTGCCGGTGGTGGTGGTTTAGTGGGCCCCGGTGGTAATTTAGTGGGTGCTGGTGGTGGCTCTGTATTTATCAGCCTAGCCGGCAGTGCTTTTGCCGAACCGAATAGCGGATTGTCATCATCGCTGTCATCAGTATCTAAGAATGAGGTCTTAGGAATTGGTGCTTTTACCGTTTGGCTTGGAATGTTTACAGTACTTCGTATTTCTTTAGTCCCTGGCGGCAGTGACCCTGTTATAGCGTCCACTACTTTTGGCTCAGCTTCTGCCAGCAATGATTTTCTATAATTGTCTTGCCGCCCACGTCTAGTCGAGGGACGCCTATGAGCCGGTCCTCGGACGCGAGTTTTGGTCACATTTTGCAGAATATTTTCATTACTGGGGCTAGGCTCAGTGCGTTCAGATTTATCACTAGCAATAATAATGTCCTCTGGTTCTTTTGTCGCCGCTGGCGATTTCTTGGGTTTTGGCAGGCCACCAGCTCCAGGTAGCAGAGCCTGAACATTGATGTTGATGTTGGGCATCTTCAGTTTGCTTATCATTGGCAACCCAGAAACAGCAATCTGCTCTTCAACATTAGCTTTGCTTTGATCTACAACGTTTGCCACTTTTGATGAAGTATTTAAAAAGTCTGGTGGTGGTTCATTGTCGTATAGGGATGAGGGCTGCGTACTGGTTTCTGGCTCGCTTGCTCTGGCTGTTTCACTGAAGTCATCATAAAAAATGGTATGTATACGAGTTCCTGTTGGTGCCATGACAGTTTTCATTCCGGAATAATTCTCCTCCTTTTGCTTTGAACCGTCATCGTGGTCATCATCGGGAGGTACATCGCTAAATAAACGCATGCCACTATATTCACTGCCAGATTGTGGCTCTACCGAAGTGGCTGACGCAGCTTTAGAAGTGCTTGGTACGTCTGGTAACGTGGGCTCGAAGAAATCGTGCTCCGTATCAAATATCTTAGATGCGTTTAGGCTGTTGAGGCTATTACTTCCCAACGATAAAAAGAATTCGTTATCATCGGGTGGCTCGTCTGAAAACAGACTAGTATAGTTTTGCATAATTTGTTGTGCTGCTGCTACATCCGAAGCCTTCGGAGGACTATGCGTTATATTTTCTTTTTTATTGCTTACATCGGCAACCATACTTATAATCGGGTCTTCAGGTAAACCCTCCTCAAATTTGTGTGCTGTTTCAGCAGTTTGCTGGTCTGTATTTAGTACTTTTTGTTCATCTTTGCTACTTTGTTCGATTAGGGATGCACTCTCTAAAGCCATTTGGTTTCCTACGTCCTTGGATGCAAACGGCGGATTAATCTCCAAATTTTTAATCTCATCTACATGTTTCGTAATATTTCCCGTTTGAGTTTGTTTTTTAATTTCTGCCCTTTTTTGATCCTCAGAAGCTATATTTTTTAAAGATTCATTACTAAACCCTTCTCTTAACTTATCACCGTCAAAAGGTGAATTAACAGCTTGCGTTTTCTGGTTCGGTTCTGCGAACATTTCATGCACATCTTCACTGACATCTAAAAGAACAGGTTTACCTTCAGTTTGGGCGGACTCTGGATCGTTGGTTTTCATACGTTCTTTATCTTTAAAGGCTCGATGTTCTTGATCATCTTGCATATTTTCAGTAGAAGTTGGTTTAAAGTCGCCACCGCCAGCGAACAAAGCATCTGTTTTTGAACTGGGGTGTCCGGAAAAATCGTTAAAAGAGTCGTTAATGATATCCTCAAAAAGCGTACTCTTTTGAGGTGATAGGTCTTTCTTCAATTCCGGTACAATTTTTTCCTCAGAATGACCCTTAATCGTTTTTTTCGGCGGTGCCCCCCTGAAAATATCCAGATCATCATCATTTTCATCATCGAAAAGTGTCAATTTCTTTGGTTGCTTTCTTTCCATGAAACTCTTTTGCTGAGGGTCAGCTTCTATTAAGGACATTTTGGCATTACCACGTATTACTGTTTGCTTCTTGCTTCCAAACAAATCGACATTATCTTCGTCATCATCAAAAAGCGATGTGTTAACGTTAGGTTTCCCTTTTAGCTCAGTTTTGGAACTTCCCTGAGTTTTTGTTGTTTTGTCATCGGTTTCACTAGAAATCTTGATATTTTGCTCTATTGGTACAACGGCTTTCTGTTCCCCAAAAATATCCATATTATCATCCATGTCGTCATCGAAAAGCGATGTTTTGATAGTTGGATTAGGTTTACTGGTGATCTTTGACTTACTCTCAGCTTTCTTGGGGAAAATGTCATCAATATCTAGGTCATCATCTTCATCGTCGAAGAGAAAAGTTTTTGGTTGCTTTTCAATTGGCTTTTTGAACTTTGTTAATCTGTCTAAAAAGTCCTCGTCCTCAAGATCATCCTCAAATAGCGATGTTGAGATCAATTTAGAAGGACCCGTAAGAGGGGGTTTCACTGTTGGACCCGCAGGAGGAGGTTGCACCGTTGGAGCAGTAGAAGCCTTCACTATTGGGCTCGGGCTAGGTGGTGGACTATCATCGAAAAGGTTCACAGTCTTGCGCAGAGGTGCTGTAGCAGTGGGTTTTTTCTCTTGAAGCTTTTGCTCATTGTTTTCTTTTATTATTGTTCTCCTTTCTTCTTTCTGCGTAGGTCCCACTTTAGGTACTGGAACACTGATCTCTGCCTTTGATTGTGCCTTGTCAGCGATTTCCGACATTAATGAATTGAAATCGTCGTCGTTAAATAGATTAACCGGCTTTCGTTTGATTTTACTTGCACTGACTGGTTTCTCATTAACCGCTTCAGTTTCGGCGTATGCAGGTGTCCACGGCACAGACGTAGAGGTGACATCCTTGTTTGCCGGCGACTCCCTCTGGACTATATTTGGTTTGCTTGCACTACTGCTGCTCGAACTAAGGGACGAATCAGTTTGTAGAATGCGCTGTGCAGGTCTTTTTGAAATAGCTGGCGAGGATGTTGGTGTAGATGATGTGGATGGGGGATCATCGCTCGGCGGGGACTGCCGCAGAGCAGCAAATAGGTCGTGCTCGGGATGATTCCGAGTGCTGCTAATTATTTGACGCGGTTGGGTCTTGGGCCGTGCACCCGTTTTACCTCCCAGCTGTCCAGCAGGCATTGGCGGCACAGAAGGGATAATTGGAGCTTTTGGCAATACAATTACTGGATCTTTTGCTATCGATGAGAGTGGTGGCTCATCAGGATCCTTATAAACTGTTGCAGGTACCTTCGGTTTAGTAGGCAGCTGCGCTTCATCTGATGAACTGGATGAGAACTCCTCCGTCTTCTCATCGTCGCTGCTTTCCGCACTGTCATAAATACCCGCATATTTGTGATCATGCCATTCTTTGGTTCCAATAATATAAGGAAGGGGTGTGTCGTCGTATGGGTTTTTTATTCGAAAAATTGTGCTGAAAAATAAATGTTTAATTAAAATTAAGCGTGCTCCTACATGCATCTACATACGTGGTGGAAGCATCGCCATCATCTTCATCATCGGAGTCAGGTACTTTAAGAGTAATTGGTTCGAAATGCTTTCGAAACATTTCAACGTTGTTTTGAAGAAACTCTTTTTGCATCTGTTCACAGCTCATATCTGGGTGTTTGGATTTCTTTTTTGTCTCAGGCATTTTGAAATCTGCATCATCTAGTGTTTCAATACGGTATTCCACAAATTGCTGGCCGAACTGTAGGGAACGAAGACTGTTAGTTGCATTGTCCAATGCAATTTCCGTGCGTTTTACTTCTGCATCAAATTCTCGTAAATCACTGTTTGTGCGTTCGACGCAGTTGTATAAATTCTATAAAACAAAAAACCATTATAATACGTTTTGATTAATCAAATTTATTTTACGTACTTCAGAGATACGTTTCATTAAATCCAATATAGCACAATCGCCAGCAAAGCTCCAATCCGGCGATTGTGCTAAAATAGCATCAACGTCCTCCGTTATGTCCATTGTGATTTTGGTACTCAATGACGATTTATTTGTTAATCAAATTACCGGTGCATTAAAAAACACCATTCAGGAGGATAGCACAATAAGTCTCATACATATGTATGTACATGTATGTACATACATACATATGAAAGTATGTTTATATATAACCACTCGACAAAGGCGGTACAAAGGCAATACCTTATTTCATAACAAAATCCATAAAACTCTCATATCAAATTCTGCCGTTTTTACTGGATCTTTTAATGTATCCTGGATCCTTAAAAGCCAATTTCAGGCACTCAAAATCTACATAAGTATGTAGGTGTGTTCGAATATTTACAGGTTTGTAGTCCATCGATAGTCAGCCAGGGCTACCATAACAAAAAAAAAACAGTAAGTACTTAAATAGGTATGTGTGTATTTTTGAAAATACCATATTTTTCATATACCAATATTATACCAATTTATTTATTTCATTTTAAAATTTATTCGTGCTGCGTAAATAAAACTACATCAAATAAAATTGGACAACTCGTAATTTTCGAATCAAAAGATCTGTTCTTCAGGTCAGAGCGGAGTACATTGATATGTTTATGAACGCATTTTTCAAAATAAAAAGGTCTCAACAGCTGGCGGCTGCTAGAGATTAGACACAGCAAATACCAGCTGATAGGCTATAGGGTGACCATATCTCAAATTGAAATATACGAAAGTGGGAATTGTTTAGCACGTGTGGTTGAGTTTCCATTCTTTTGGATGAATTTGTAGATTTATTTTGTAAATTAGCTAAAGTAATTTTATTTTCACTATAAAAATGGCTATGCTTGCGGGACCGCGGCGTCGAAAACAATACAACGTGACTCCGCGGGGCAAGCCTCTCTATGACGGTTAATAGAAACAAATTAAAGGTTTGCAAATAATTCTAAAAGTCTCACTTTTACAGACAAAAATCGTTTTGGTACTAAAATGCTGGAAAAAATGGGCTGGTCTAAGGGAAAAGGTCTCGGCGCCAATGAGGACGGCTCGACAGATTTTGTGCGCGTAAATTATAAGGATTCCGTTGACGGTTTGGGTTACAAGGCGCGCGATGATCAATGGACCGCGCACGAGCAGGTATTTGACGGATTGCTGCAGTCCTTGAATGGCGATGAGGGTGCAATTGATCCAGCTGGCGAGACGTCCGATATGGAAACACGTCCGATCGGATTTGGCTTTAAACAAATAGAAAAAACGGTTAAACCCAACAAGTTAAAAGAGAAGATCAGTGGTATTTCTTTGGAGGAGAAGTCCAAGCAAAGTAGGGCTCGGGTACACTACAAGAAATTCACTCGTGGCAAGGACTTGTCTCAGTACAGCGAAAAGGATTTGGCAAACATATTTGGAAAGAAGGAGGCAGAGAATGGGCTTCCTAATGACCCATGGAAAGCCCAAGTAATACAAAACGAAATAGGGCCTAATTTTTCAGGGGTACAGACTATAACTACTGGGCTATCATTGACTGATTACTTCAAGGAAAAAATGAACGCTAAGAAAAATACAATAAATACTGGCAACGAAGCCGTTGATAAGTCATTTTTAAATAATGATGAAGAAGATAGTCTTTCTGCTAAAGTCAATGGCTGTATAGAACCTGTTCAAGATCAAAAGAAAAGAAAAAGGAAAGATAAAGAACAGAAGTGTTCCGATGAAGCAGCAGTAGAGCCATCAACCAGAAAACGTAAGAAGACGGAGAAAGGGGTTGAGGACTTAAAGGAAAGCGAAGTTGTGGAAACTTCCATGTTGAAATCGGAAAAGAAAAGAAAAAACAAACCAGACACACAGAAAATAACAAATGAAATTGTACCTGAGAAAGTTACCACTGGAAATACAGAAAATAAAGATATCAATGAAAATGAAATATCTTTAGATGCAACGACGCGCAAGCACAAAAAGAAAAAGAAACACAATGTAGATTTTGTTCAAACTGAAACACAGCAGGCAACAATTACAGGAGCTTTTGAGAATTCTGCCCCTAAAATTACAGAAAATAGAGATAGCAATGAAACTGAAACGGTTTTAGATGAAACGACGTCGAAGCACAAAAAGAAAAAGAAGTCTAAACGCGATGATAGAGCGAATTTAGTTAGATCAGATATGCGGGATACAACAGTTGCGGAAATATGTGAGGAAGCTGAAGCCGAAAAAAAGAAATCAAAGAAAAAACTCGGCTGTGTAATTGAGAACCAAACGGAAGAGATAGATACTGGAATTAATTTTGGTAATAAAAAAAAGAAACATAAGCGTGAACAGATAGAACAAGTGGAACCTGATAGTGATCTGGAGAAAAAAAAACTTGCAGCTAACAAAAAATTGGAAATACATCAAGAAGAACAAAGCGCATCTTTATCAGGTATAACACCGTGCCCAAATAACGAACATCTTGAGTCTGTTTCCAGCAAAAAGAAAAAGAAACGTAAGAAGGGGGATGCCGAGCTGATTGCGGACAATTATAATAAATCAGTGGAAACAAATGAGCATTCCCAGACGGACGATACCACTGAAATGAATAAGAAAACCAAAGTAAGTGAAGACACATCTGAGCATTCCCAGACGGACGATACCACTGAAATGAATAAGAAAACCAAAGTAAGTGAAGACACATCTGAAACCGCATTCGCGAATATTAGCTGCAACAGCGATTCAAACGATGCGCCACCAAATCAGTTCTTATCTCTTGAGCAATTAATTCAAAGTCAAGAATCATTTAATGTTTATACAATTTCATCATTTTGCGCAGAAAAATTTCATTTGGTGAACATGAACGCCTTTAAAGAATCGACGTTTGCACAAATTATTGGCTATGCATTTGATGAAAATATGAAGCTCGATGTGGTGCCTCAAAAAGGCGATGAACGACGCATTTTAAATTTCTGGAATGGTACTTCTAGTAAATATGGTCCACACAAGACAAAACCATTTAGATATAATTATATAACACCCTCTGTAATAACAGCTATAAAGAGGCGAAAAGCGTTTTCAGGTATTTAGTAAGTCAATAAAAATAATATAGCATTTCAATTTTAAGGCAAACACAATTTAATTCAATAAAGATCTTAAAACACTTTGTACATAATACGGCTTAGTTGTTTTCCTTTACATTTTAATATGTAACAGTAATAAAACTGGTTCTATCCGCAAAACATGATGGGCTAAGTGGGATCTACAACTATGGGCCTTCACGGTTTTGTTTATAGAACCAAACAGCATCAAAACTTCATGCTGGTGTATAGCGTACCACTTAAAACACTTACATGAAAACATCTAAGGGTATACTTAAAATACTAGACTTGTATGAATATGGGCATTATATTATAGCGATTTTAGCGTAAATTGCTATGAACTTTTTTACATGAGTGTAATATCAATGAAGATTATGGTGGTAGAGAGGTTGTGCGTCAGTGCGCCCACTTTCAATTTTAAGCATTATGTTAAGTCAAATGCAATAAGCTCTGGTTGCCTAAAATTTAATCGGGCGTCATATTCCGGTTTGCCAGCCGACGGGAACGCCGCAAGACCCTAGACTCAGACGTTAGTCTATCGCTATTATGCAGACTTTTCTTTGCCATATTACGGTTGTAGGTATTTAAATTAATATGTGTGTCCCACTGTAAAGCATAAAGATTTTCACGATGATATTTAAATAATCGACGCAAAAATATTGTGCTCTACTAACCGAACCGGAGATTATTTCCGATCGCTCTGGATGCCAGTCCAAGTCGCGTATCACATTTCTATGTCCTTCTATAGCCTCTTTGATTCTTCCAGTCAGCACGTCATAAACTGTAACAGGTTTTCGAGCATGTTTTAAATATGAAGCGAAATATGAACTATTGAAAAACTCACTTATAATGCGCCCGGTCGCGCATCCTGTATAAATGTAACGCTGGCCTGTTTGTAGTAGTGGAGAAAACTTGGCACGTAATAAAGTTTTGCTAACTCGGTGGCCACGGTAAGTCATTACGCTGCTATCGCCTTCAAGAGCTTTGTGTGGATTGCATATTTCGCGCGGAACGCGTTCCCAACGATAGTCCCATGTAGGCAGAAGCCTTTGCTGTCTGCGTGCACTGCCACGATTACGTAAATTACTGGGCTGTCGCATATCCCAAATCTTTATACTTTGGTCTTTTGAATTGGAGAGAAGGTAATAGCCATCGTTACGGGAATCTATGTAGGTAATGCCATCGTAATGTCCAATAAATGACACCACTGCTTTGGATAGATTCCGACTACGCTGTGAAACGCGCAGATCGAAGACCTTGAGCAACCCATCATCACAACCTGCTATTATCACATTCGGGTCTTTATCGTTAACATATGAAACAGCGTTCACATCTGTAACGGGCATACGATGTGTTCGCAATATTTGTGTGCTACGTGTTTGCACATCCCCAACAATGACAGAGCCATTATTGCTGCCGCCAATTATTTTATCGCCTGTTGGAGAATACTGAAGCGAAAATATAGCAACGCGGCTGTTCTGGCTCTCTACGTCGATCCATTGGCAGTCATCCGCAGTGCCATTTACTGGCATTATGAAAACTGTTAAATGAGAGGTTGGTTAGTTAAATTAAGACAAAAGACATATTTTTTATTAAGCCTACAAGATCGTGACCATGTAGAATAGGCAAAATGCTGGCCATTTGGACTGAAGTCAGCATCAATAATGCTCCATTGGACATCGCGAGCATTGATGCGAGTAAGGAGGTGGTAGGTGCCCTTAGATCCGTCATAAATACGCACAAATCCATCTAAAATATATTAATAATAGTTTTAGGGGAATGTTATATTAAAAACCACTCTGATTCTAACCTTGGCAAGCAGTCAAAAGCTTGGTCCCGCTCTTATTAAATTTCGTTACATAGACTTTCGAGTCCAGTGACATTAATCGCGCAGTTTTCTGATTTGGTATGTACATGTTAGCAATGTTGCGCTGCTGATTGGAAGAAAACGATGCGATACCAGGTGAGGCCAAACCATTTTCACGCTGTTGCAGAGAACGCAGTAAGTTGAAATGTTCGTTCGATTGCTGGATTAAGCCACAACGAGCTCTAATCTCTTTGTACATGTCTGTGCTCTGAAACAACATAGTCTTTATCAGATGTAATATACATATCAAATGTATGGGATCAATATCTCTGCTTACTTGAAATTTTTCAACAGATGGCTTACTACGTATTATGGGCAAAGGGTCTTGTTGGTAGCAACTCGAATCTCGGGAATCAAGCTCCATATCGATTGCGCGTACGGTTATATTAATAACGTCAATGGCTCTCGTATCATCGTCATCACTGATTGATCCTATTTGGTTTCCCATTGTTGAAAATCAATCAGTTAGTTTCGACATCTAGTTTTCTTATGACCAATTTTTTTTTAGTGTGACCCTGAACAACAATACCTTACAAAAGTACCAGGGCTGGAAACATTTTATTCTGTTTGTTTTATACTGTCCCAACCAGAACTTCTTAGCGTTTTTGTAAAATACTAACTAAACGTGATTCGGAGTAGAACGCGTTGTTTATATTGCAGCCAAGCACAAGTATATTTAAAATTGAATACAGCAAATGAACTACTGACAAAGCAGTATTTTTGATATAATTTATACCAAATACTCCTAAATATGTCGGTAATTTAAATATGTATACAATAGACCTGAATAGGAAGCAAAAAAAATGGGAATTGTGTTATATTTATGCTTACCTACTTTTAATGAAAAATTAAATAACACAATGACTCTATGCTTATTTGGTGCTTGGCGCATTGCATTAAAATTTGACCAGTTGGACTATGTTGTTTCATTCCATTAAAGTACAAAAATAGCTTAATTTTTTACTTATTTTTTTATTCCTTAGTTTCTATTTTTCCATTTGACATATATTTGCCATTTATTTAATAGTTTAGCTTCTTGGCTTATCGGAAAAATGTATTCTTGAATTGTAAATGTCCAATTTGAATATGCGCCAATTGGATGTCGCAATTTGATGATGTACAATGAAAAAGTATCGAGTATAAGTATTCGAATATCGTCCCCTTCAAGCAACCTGTTTTGTTAGCTTGGCTCAGTGGCGATTTAAAAAAACAGTCTCAAAGCGATCTTCATCGGTGTCAAAACAGCGCGGAAATTGTCGGTTCATTTTTCTCTTGCAGTAATGTATGTGTGTTTATCTGTGTGTGTTTGGTAATGAATTTGGTCAAATTCCTATTTCAATTTTGCATTTGTATACGTTAAAGAGTTGAGCGCGCATGGAACTCACAATAAAAACACAACAAATATTCTAAAAATTCAGAGTTCGAAGTATTTAAAAAGAATTTGTGTCGTCTATAGGTAACTTTGTCAGTATTGTACTGGACTTAGAGCAAGTGTGTGTGTGTATGTGTTTGTGCCAAGTTTTGTTGCTATACCAGCTAGCTTATGTTTGTATGTGCTTGTGTGTGTAAAATTTATCATAAATACTTTTGCACAGCGCCTCGTAACGCACGAGACGCAATTTAGATACAAACGAAATGTGAAAAAAAAACGCAAAGAAGAAAGTTGTTTAGCATACGTTTGTATGTATATACATTCATACATAAAGAGGCATGAATGCATATGTATGTACATATGTATAAAAAATGTGTAAAATTCCAATGTTGTGGCATACGCACACCTATGCGAAAACGCCCAAAATTTCGACAGCATAATTGAGTAATTAAAAAAAAGAAGATTGCATTGCCAAAAGTTATAGAGTCATTAACATTTTCCTAATAGTGCTTAGTTATAGTTAGAGCTCTAAGCTCTGCATAACTATCTGTATGTACAAGTATGTAAGTATGTACACATGTGTGTATGTAAATGGCTCATACATAAGCACTAATGTTGAAACAACAACTAAAGCCCGCATTCATACATACGACGCTATATCGCGTGTGTATAATCAACTCAAAATAATAATAATAATAATAAAAAAGAGAAAAACTTGTGAAAAACTAGACCGCGCGAGCGCAGTTGCTGCTGCAGCGATGAAATAGGCACACAAAAAAGTGAAAGATTGCAAGTATGAGAGTCTCTGCCGCTGCTGACTTCGCTGCCACAAACACACGCACATCCACTGGGTGGAGAGAATGAGGCTTAGATCAATCGCTGCATTTGCTGGGGTGTTGCTGTTTTTTAAATTTTAATCTATAGTGCATAAGTAGCTAAAACATCTTTCAAAATATTTTCTACTTTTATACAATTTTTGATCTTTAATCTAGGTTGATTGACTTAAAATCATTGTAAAAATGAAATCTAACATTGTTGACTAAATGGAAATTGAGTTGAAACACTAAATATGCATGAAAAATTAAAAAATTATAGTTAATCTAAAAATTTTCATTTACTATATATATTCTTTAGAAAAATGACGGTCTGATATCTAGAAAAACTTTAGATTCGTAGAGCACACAAAAACAACCCATTCTATTTAATCTCCTTCGCAAATAACTTTCATGACTCAAATAATGGTATAAAGCCATACAGCTTTAAGAAACAGAAGAATGTGCTTTATTGTATTATAGGATTTGACAGGTGCTTGGCAACAATTTAAAGGGCACTCGTCTCAATGGCGCACATTGTCTGTTATTGTATGTAGTATACGTATATATATATACGTACTTGATCCTCATTCTACATATACAAATACATGCATACAAGTATGTACTCGTACTTTGTATATATTAAAATTAGCAAACTGACAGTAGAACAGAGCTAGGCAGTAAGTACGTTTGCAAATAAGTTTGCTTAAACAATTCTCAATGCGCAATTGATTTCTTCCCCTTTCTATTTACACTTTTCTTTTGACTGATCATATATATTTAACATATATTCAAATGATTTTTTTTGTTGTATGCTTTAAGCGAAATTTGTTCATTTAGATCTTTTATCGTACACCTTTCATAAGCTATGTCGACCATTCAAATTTTCTTTAAATGTACATATATGCATGTGCTTGTGTGTATGTGTGTGCGAATGTGTGTGTGTGTATGCAGTCCCGCAATGACGCAATCATTTGCATTTTGTTTAATTTCTATGATTGTTTCATTACTAATGGCTGTCGGGTTATGGCTGCGAAACCAGTTATAGACATGCTGTATTTTATATTGTTTTTGTTGTTGTTTTGTTTATTATTATTATTTTTGTATATTTTGTGTTGTTTGTGGCTTGCTATTAGCAGCGGTAGCGTTGTCAATTATGCCAATTCAAGTTCATTAAGCTGTTAATGCATTGGCCACATCGGTTGCGGAAACTTGCATATGTATGTATATATGTACTCGTATTTGTGTGTATATGTTTGCTTGTTTGTTTGTCTTTCTTTTATTAGCTTACACATAACTGTGATTGTGGCTATTTTTTAATTGTCATTGTTAGCGTTCGTTGGGAAACAAGTTTCAAAAATCAATCGGACTTAACACAAGATCTGCTGTGCCTGTCTCGGTGCGTGAACAAAAGACTTAGGCAACAAACTTGCAGTGGAAAGGTGTGCAGTAAATTGATAATATGATAATATGGCACAGCTGGAATTTACAGACAAACAAACAAACAAAACACATGGAAATGTAAATTTGTGGCATTTATTGAAATATATCAATTATTGTTGTTGCGATTGCTGTTTCGGTTGAGCTCAACTTTCATTTTCGTTCAAATCACAAAAAGATCAACAATCAGCAGACATGCAACAAATTTAAAACGAAATGCTTTGTTGCATCTTTTAATTTGTTGCTTTCATATGCAGTCGCTTGGAAAACGGAGCGTTTTAAATGACAAGATCGGGTCCGAGCCCGCGCTCGGTTCGGGCTTAGTGAGCGTTTTGTGCAACACCTCATGTGCGAAATTCTACGCCAGCTAAACAAACAGTATGCAGTATGGCCACAGTTCTAACTGATATGTAGGAAAGCGATAGCGATAATCAGTCATTAGAAAAAGCATGCGCACACCTACCTTTGTGGCTTTCGCAGCGCTTCTTAGTCACAGTCAGTGGACACATTGAGGCGGTGATGTAAGCAACCTGTTTTACTTTTATTTTGCTATTCGAGGCGTTTTGTCAGGTCCGCCCAACAATATGACATGCCTGGAAGAATTATTTATACGCGTAAGTCGTCGTTATCATTACATGCCTATTATGTCAGCAATCGAGCTTAATTAGGCTTTTCAATGCCTCTGATTGTGATCATGTCATATGGACAGCTAACCAAGTCCAGTGTGGGTGTTTCTCATGACGCTGTTGCCAATAGTCAAATGTGCAAGAAATCGACAAAATTGTTGATTGATATTGTGTGGGTGGCTTAATAGGCGCCAAATATTATTGTTTCGCTTGGCTAATGAGGCGTTTCAAGACTGTCAGTTGACACTTCGAAAATTTAATTGTACATAACGTGTTTATGCAAATACCTTACGAGCGTTACACTAGTAGTGTTCCTACATATGTATATATTATGTATTCTTCGTTATATACATTTTAGTAAAATTCCTAATAGAGACATGTTTTATAGTCAATTGATCTGTTTCAAAATTAAGTACTAGTTGAATAAACGAAAGACATATTATTTGACTAAAAGGGTGGCTGAATAATAAATTAGGGAACAATTTCTTCGCTTCTCCTAACGTATATATACATATACGTATATAAATACTTTACGTCCAATTAAAAGCAGAATTATAATAAATATATAAAAGCCGTTTTGTTTCTTCTATTTTTACAAATTTCTAGTAAGATTGGCTAATTTATTTCATTTATTTATGCTGATGTAATGTCTTATTAAATGATTAAACGTTAAATGTAATAATCAATCTTTAATAAGCAAAGCCAGCCTGAGGATTATAAGGCAGTTTATTTATTGTATACTAGGGAGTGTATAGAGTTTTCATGTCTAAACGGTGGAACAGCGTCTCCCCATCATTTGTCAATTCATATATTAACATTTAGTTTATTTGAAACGAACCTTTGAATTAAAGTTGTATACAAGAATTTAGAAAACTCCAGAACTAGACAAAGAATTTTTTTTCTAGAGTTATCTCTATCTGATATCTTAATGCTAATAAATTATTTGAATCTCTGATTTCGTAATCTGCACTAATCGCAAAACATTCCACAACTATTTTGTTCAACCAGCTCAGACCTCAACTGAATCACAATACAAAATAATTGAAATAATTTGGTGTTACAAATATTACATTTGCATTTACTACGCTTATGATAAACCTTCAATGAACTGCCACAGCACCTTACAGCAGCAGCAGCAGCAACAACAATATTATCAACAACAACATCAGCTGTTGCAGCCACCGCCCTCTGCTCTGTTGCTCGCTCGGCCATGATGTTGCAACGATTACTCGCAATTGCTTAACGTTCATTAAACTTGCGGCAAGAAAAAGAAAGTAAACGGCTTTTGGCCACATTTGTTTTAATTTTGTTCAAACCAGAGCCACAAAAGCAGCAGTTGCCGCAGTTGCAGGCAACAATCAATTAATATTACATGCACATAACTATATATAGATGCATGTATATATGTATTTCCTTGCCAAGTTGAAGACGAAGCATACCCGTATAAATAATTTTCCCCTTCAATTTAATTGTTGAAAAACACAGCACAATCGAGGCAATTAATCAAATGGAAAATGCAAGCAGCCAAGTTGTCGGTTTTTTTTTTTTTTTGCACCGGCAAGTGTTTCCATTTTTGCTGCAATTTCTTGTTGCTGAGCTGTCGGTGCCAGGCGATTTCATTGGCGTTGGAGTTCGTGCCGTTAGCGACCGACAACAACAACGACAGCGACCGCAACAAGTTCAATTGTTGCACGTCAGCAGCGGCTGTGGCAGCGACAGCAGCAAGTGCTGTGGCAGCTTTAGGCGACGAGTCGCAGCGGTGCGACTATGCGAGGTCAATGGCAACGTTGGTGTCATCAGCAGCAGCGGCAGCAGCAGCAGCAAACACCACCAGCACTGACGTCAAATATATAACTTTTTTCGTTGCTGCTGATGTTGGCCATGGCTTCTTTTGGCTTTAACCCTTTGCCCTGCCTTTTTTGACCAGCATCGTAGCAACACATTACTCATTTTTCCCAGATACGTTCCGAATACAACATTGTTGATCTCTCTCGGGCTTTATAAGCTCGTCTCCGTGTCCGTTTAATTAAAATTCATTAATAAAATACGCGCAACTAAAATAAAACGAAAATTGTTTTTGGCTTCTAACAATGAACGAACTGCCTGTGGTGGGCAGTCTAGCTGGCATATTTGGCCAATTGTTAGAGCTGTTCGAATCTGATATGTATTTTGTTTGATATGACCATTTGTGGTAGTTGCTTAAAATGTGCGCTAATACTAATGTTAAAAGGAAATTTAAATGCCCACACAATGATAGACAAGTTTTTTGTTTTTGTTAAGATGTGCCCGTCATTCGATTTAGTTTTTGTTAACTTTTACCGATTTAAATTTTGCAGCGCCTGCAAGCAACGACAGCGACAGCTGATGATGGACATGGCACGCAATTTGTCTGGCAAATAAATAGTTTTTAAAACGAACACAAAAAAAAACAAAACGTAATTACCTTACAACAACAACTGCAACAACTACCAATCACGCATCGTGCAATTCGCCGCAAAACAAAAGCAATTCCATACAAAAGCCAAAAGACAACAAAAACGTGCGCAGGCGCACAAAAGAGTCACAAAAAACAGCAAGAAACAAACGCTTGAAATACTCAGTACTGCTTGCAGTTCCAGAATATAAATTCAAGTGAAAATTGGGGGCCACACTTACTAAAAACAAAAGCAACACAAATTGGCAAGCGGAAACTGCCTGGCGGCCACTGACAACATTCGTAAAGCGGTCAAGTGGCAGCAACGGCAACGTGAACGGCAGCGGCGACACTTTCGATAGACACTGGTGTTAATTGCAAATTGCAGGAACAACAACAACAACAACTACAGCACTAACAGCCGCAGCTTTAACAGCAAGCATGTATCGGCCAAATTTCTACGAGTCCACCTGCCTGCGCTGCAGCGAGACCGTCTATCAGGTGGATCGTGTGGGGCCGCTCAAGGATTTCACATTCTTCCATTCCGGTTGCTTCAAGTGTGTGCACTGTGGCACCAAGTTAACGCTGAAGACATATTTTAATAATCAACACAAACAGGACGATAAAGAGGTGAGTGTGCGGGTCCACAAACAAAAGACTTCAGCGACAAACTCAACAGTGAACGACATTGTCGATTGTTTTGCCATGCAAATAATTGCACAGCTGCAAATGCTAGACACACACATATATCTAAACACAAATGCACACATACATATGCAAATTATTGTATCTACGAGTAAGTATCTAACACAATCAATTTGCAATTGGCAAATGTGTGTCATTATGGTTCAATAAACACAAGTGCTTTGCACAGTACACGGCAGAAGTATTGCGTCAGACTTCAATATGAAACTCAATAAAGTACAATTTTCTGTTTTTAACGTAGTATAAATTAAAATTGTCAATTACTTAAATTAATCATAATAACTTAATTTCTTGATACTTATAAATACTACAGATATTATCGGTTCGTCAATTTACTCAATCAGTCAGTTTTACATATCTGTTTCGACGTTTTTAGCAGGTGCTTAGGCCTTAAACACTGCTCGCTCATCACAATTAAATCAATTTGCAGGTAAAAACTAAGTTCGTTACTAGGTTTTACACTGAAACTGCTGTTTCCACATTCCTCAAAAATTTTAAAGTGCCATACATAAAATATTCGAATTATTCTTTTAAGATTCGTTTTAAAATATTTGTTGAATACTTATGCCGCCTTATGTATACAAAAATGCGTGAGTGTGTGTGTGTGTGTGTGTGTGTGGGAGAAGTGGTTGCAAAATTTGTCACTGCATATGGCGAAGGCAACTAACTGTGTGTGGACCACGGACGTGGACCAGCACTTTGGCCAACTGCAGCTTTTAGGCCAATGAATGAATTTTTAAAATTTTTAAAAGGCAGTCAGTCCAGTCATAAACACCTCGCTCCACAGGTCTATTGCAGTTCACATGTACCAAAGAGCGGACCTGGTCATCTTGATCAAACATCTGTGGGTATTAGGCAAGCTTTAAATGCGCCGCGCACAAATAAATTTGTGAACGAGCAGATACGTGGCACACGTAGCGAGATCGATGGTGAGTGCCACAATTTTGAACTCTTGTTTAATCAAAACAATTGCCCAACAATTGTTGTTATTGTTTGCCTTTCAGGTGGTCTGGGCTCACGTCAATCAACGCCGAATGGTTATGGCAACCGTGATGTTAGTTCCCCGTCTCAAAACGACTCGGACTACAAATATGGACGGTTCGATGCCAGTGCTTTGCATATAGCGCATGCACTGAAACAAACTGAGATACAAAAGGCCTACAATAAGGCGCGTGAGAAGCCAATTGATTTCTATTTGGTAAGTACAAAGCACACATTCTCTCTCTATCTTTCTCTCTCTTGGCACAATTTAAGTCGTGAGACAAACACGCTGGGATTCGAGCTGTGCGCGTGACACAAATTTGTGTTTACCTTCTCGATTATTCATATTCACGCACAGCTCTAGCTGGCGTAAATGTGGACAGTGACTGGCTAACTGACTGATTGACGGACTGAGTTGCTTACTATGTTGCCTGCTTACAAGTATGCGGCACTTTAAATGGCTGCTTAACGTCACGTTGCCATGAATTAAGAAATTATTTAGTGCAGAACATCTAATGAAATTTAACTGCCTTTGCCTGTTCGCTGACTGGCAACTGTTGTTGTTCTGTCTGTGGCTATGGCTTTGGTCATTTATAGCGGCACTCGCGCCGCTGCAGCCATCCAGCCATCCAGCCAGCGAGCCACTGGCTATATAAACAAACGGTTGTGGTTGTGCAATAATGACTGCATGAGCTTCTGAGCTATTTTAAAACCAAGTTTCTCACTCTGACTCTGACTCGGAATCAGCCTCTGACTCTTTCTGATTTTCATCGACTTTAATTAATGCAATGATCAACAGAGTCATGCGCACTCAGCGTGTGTGTAATGCAACGGCCTATAATAATAGTAACAATAATAATTATGTAGGCTAGCGCTATTTACACCTGCACATCAACATCAAAATCAAACTCAACTCTGCTTCACGTTGGTTTGCAAGTTTGTTGCTCAAGTCTTTTGTTTGATTGAATGCCTCTGCCTGCCACATAAATAAAACCCACAAATGCACTGCAAGCCGAACGTTATGTTACCAATGCCTCAAAAGCTTTCGAAAAGTGTGCTAAAAAGGCGAACGTGTCTATGACAGCACTTTTGCAGTTTGCAGTTTGTTTTGCGTGGTAAATACTCGTATGCGTTGAGTCATGTCGCACATTTTTTGAGGATATCAAAGAATTTTGTTGAAATAGATGCAATGCGTAACAAGCAGGAAACATGTTACCGACCTAATATAGCAGCAATATTTTTCAAATGTTGGTTATACACCACATATTTACTTATCTTCAGTAAAAGTAAGAGTCAGGAAGAATGCCTTTTTTCAGAAGCTTTAAAGCATTTCTTTACTAAATTAAACTAATTTATTATGGGAATATAGTATGTTCTTTTTCACAAGGTTTCTAGCCCATCAAAACTTTATGATCTTAATTAATTCCCATGCGGATGTTTTCAATGTTATCTGATTAATGTTGATTTTAAAAATCATTCAAAGAGATATTCGTTTGTATCATCATTTTATATTTTTCGGTTACTTAAGTTTTTCATTCTAAATTGTGCCTAATCATGGGCCATTGGAAAAATACTCTCTCAACGTACTTGTACGCTGCAATTAAATACAAATTATTTTCACTTCCCACCGATTGCAGCTGCGGCTTTTCTGTCCTTGCCTTGCACCTTTTTTGAAGGAATTTCAGGCTTTGGGATAAGCACCAGCAATGGAATTCTATTAATTGTTTTAGGAAGTTGCCAACAACATGGGTAAAACTATTTGGCTTAATATTGTAATTTGTTAATTTATTTATTATATTTTTATGTCAAGAAACAATAACTGTCGACATAAAGAAACAATATGAGAGTTTTAAAAAAGCCTTATCTAATCAAATTGCAATTAGATATTATCTAATAAACGCCTCTGACTCGGTGGGGGTACATTATTTGCCTTTCAGCTAGCCGAAGCCCCGACTCCAGCCAAGCGAGGTCAGAGGCTTCAATAGATCTACCAAATAATACTTTGTAATACTTTTGAGGGATCACGTTTTGCACTTTAAAGCTTTCAAAGCTATGCTCCGAATTAATGAAGCGTTTTAGCTTTTCAATTGGTTCGTTCCATTCGCAAAATACGCGTACGTTTATTTTCGTTATAAAGAAAATTGCATAAATTGTAAAAACGCAAGGAAATACATTGTAGTTGTTATTTTGTGTTTGGTCACTAAGTGGCTTAGTGTCGTACATGGTTGTGGCTAAAATCGAGTAGCGGCCAATGGAAAGAAAAAGCAATTTGCCGTTGTGCCATTTAATTATAATTTATCGAATTTTGTGTGCATATGCCGATGATAATGCGACGACATTATATTTAAAGTAGAAACACCATCTCCTCCCATCACTACATGAGTTGGCGTTAATCGCGCATATACTATATGCTATCTATATATACATCGCAATGAGCGCGCAAATCGTAAATCGCAAAAGCCGCTCTGGTGAAAGCAATGTCAGGCAGGCGGCAAGAAAACGCAGTCGGAGTTTTTTTGCTTTTGGTGTTTTTTTTTTTCAACAAAAAACAAATTCAAAAAAACAATAATAAATATTTCAAAATTTGTGTTCGTTTTCGTACAAGTTTCATGAGTGAGCGATGTCGGGTGAGTGATGCCGCAAGTTTTCCACCGCTTGGCTGCCAGAATGCGAAGCAGCCCCAAGACGTTTGTGCCACACACGAGTGACCACAGAGTAACAAAAATAAACGTCCAATGTGGCATGTTATTGCAACGCTCAATTTAACAAATTTTGAACAGGTGTTTGATGGTTTTCTTGCCACACAACAACAGTCCAAAAATAAACACAAAAATGTGTACGTATGTAAAAAATTGCATGCATGCAAAAGTTATATTTTTCGGTATGCCACGCACACCCACCACCAGCAGCCACAAACTGGCGTTGCATGGCTCCTGCTGCCGTTGCCGAGCTGGTCACTTCATTTTGCCTTTACTGTGCTGCTGCTGCTGCTGCTGCTGCTACTTCATAGATTTCCATATACGGATATATGCGGCATAGACATACAAGACAATGCCAGTTGCCAGTTTTCAGCTCGCCACCTTGCCGCTTGCCGCTTACAGCTTTCAGCTGCTGTCGCTGCTGCGGTAGTCACTTGTTTTTCCGGCTGCAGTGCAGCAAAGTCGTCAGACGCGACGCCGACGACAGCAACAATACTTAGTTGCGTTTGCTAAATCTAAATTATGCGCACCAGAGTGAAAGTAAAGCTATGGCGTCGGCGTCGGCGTCGGCGTCAGTGTTGGTTTCAGTGTCGACAACGGCGTCGGATACCACCGTTCGTGCTCAAAATATTATGCCTGCCTCAACCAGCTTCATCATCAGACCAGACTCTATGCCCCTATACTTGAGGTCATTTTTATACTCTCTACATAAAATGTACAAGAGTATATTAGGTTTGCGGGAGCTGAAAATGTAACAGGCAGAAGCAGGCGTGGCAGACCCCACAAAGTATATATATTCTTGATCTGCTGATCGTCATGCTTGACGAGACGAGTCGATCTATCCCTGTCTGTCTGTCTGTCCGTCTGTCAGTCTGTCCGTAGGAACACCTGGATCTCGCTGTGCAAGTTTATTTTATTTTTTTTGATTCCCCCCCCCCCCACTTCCCCGCCTATGGGGGTTTTCCCGATTTTCCATTCGTATAATCGCCTATATCTCAGACTCTATAAGACCTAGGAATTTTAGTCCAAGATGCGTACGCAGAAAATGTATGTTTTGGAATTTCCCTACCCTTCCCTACTCTCCCATGCAAATCGCGATTTTCTCTAACTTCCGTAATTCTTATAATTTCGAGCTCAAATTTTGCAAATACCCCCAGTTAGTAATTATGTGTCCCTATGCCGATTTAACAAGAAGTTATAGCCATAAATATATTTGCTGCCTGCGGCTGCTGTTGATGATGGTGCTTTGGTTGACTGCGAACATGCTTACACAGACACGAATATACGAGCATAAACATACATACACTCACATAGACACAATTGCTTTGTATATGTGCAATTATACACTCTTTACGTGAATACGAATACCAAAAGAGGTAAAATCGATCCAAAATTTTTGTTTTAATTCTCTTACTTTTTTTAATTTCTATAATTATTCTAAACATACAAGTATGTACAGAGTATTTCAAAGTCGGGACACCCGACTTTAGTTTTTTTACTTGTTATTTGATGGAAGAATGGGACCAAGTCAATAATGAGGTCATATTTATATATGAGGTATACTATATATTTATAAATGAGTATTATTGTCATTGGGTTTTGTATTTAAAAGCAAACAAAGAATAGTTCATGTTATAAAGGTTTCTGAATATTTCTTAAACAAACCCCTCATTGTTAAAATGTGTGTTAATGTTGTACTAAAATCGGCTGCCCACTAAACTTCCTTTTGATTTTATATCCGTATTGTCAAAGAAACAATAAGCTACAGCCAGAAAACCTTTTTAATTAAGTGACTTTTTGGATTATTAAGTCGCAATTTATTGATCAAAATAGTTTATACTAATATTATAAATGTTTTTGTACGTTATACTTGTAAACAAGGATCTCTTAATATTCCACAAATAAAATCATTTCACTTAGGTATTTTCTGAAATTGTCTGAATAATAATAAATTACTCCAATGATTTCACTATAATAAATATAACGTAATCTAATCTAATAATTTTTACCATTTAAAAAAATTAATTAAAATACCAATTTGTATTATTTATTTGTTATAATGTTAAACTAAACTGTTTAAATTATTCTTCTTTTAAACTAAAAAAAATTATAATTTTTTGACGGCATCTAAATGTTATGCCTTTTACGGATAGCCTTCATAAAATAAGATATTGATATTATAGTTCTTCATCGATTAATGTCTATTCGAGCCAATTCGTACTATGACCAAGTTATTAAAGTTTAATATCATTTGTTTTGGTACATATGTGGAATTTTTTTTATTTATAATTTTGACACATAAAACCGTGATATTAAGCTAACAATATATTAGACATTGTCGCATGCCTGAAATTAAGATGATTTGCGTTTTTCGTCTAGGAAAAGAAAGATGAATTATGAATAAATTTCTTATATTTTCCTCCGCTCACAAGCAACACAAATTGCCAATTCCCGGTTTCAACTGAATGCACAACGTTTAGTCGCAGTTTGAGGTTTAAGTCGAGCCCTTATGCAACGCTTACGCACCTCGGTGGCATTTTCTAATTGCTGGCGCGTTTAAACGCCATGTAACCGTTTGTATATAATTTGGCGCGACAACGCACAACACTTCCTCATACTTTGCTTTTCTTTTGCGCGGTTTTTTGTCAAGAAATAATAGACAAGTCAAGTTGGAGAGCGGGAGTTGAGGATGGGAATGGGAAGGCAGGGAATAGACAGGCAGAAAGTTAGCCCGCCAATTTATGTTCATCTCTTTCGTAATAATTAATTTGACGTTTGCGAACTTTCGTTTTCATTTTGTCCGGTTTGGTTACGCTTTAGTTTTGGTTTTGGTATTGGTATTGGTTTGGCTTAAAGCATTTTGCTTGTGTCACTCTTCTGTGGGCGTCATAACTGTTTGTGTTTTTATTTTTTGCTCGATTATGCCCATATTTAAAATCGCTCATGCATACATACATGCATACATACATATATATATATACATATATGTGTATATGTTTATGCAAATACATATGTACATTTGCTAGCGACGTCAACAGCGCCATTGTCAACAGAAAGTTGTGGGCCTTTGAACCATTTGGCTAAAAATGCGATTGTTTTATATTTCATGCAGTGTTTGAACTTGACATTGAAAATTGCTTAATTAGACGTTGTTCATTTGGTTCGCATTATTATGGCCAAAAGTTTGCATGCGGAAGCGTTAATTAGATCGTTCGAAAGCCACAATCACACACGAACACACACATTGGTATAAATATATAATTTCTTGCAGCTGTTAGTTGTTTTAATTGTTAAGGCATTAGCTAGACGTTTAGTGAAGGAAATGGAGTGCAACCAGCAGCTAGCCAGCCATACACACTGACAGCATAGTACAGTAAAACCTTTGCAGTCATATTTCTACCTTTTTTACCTCATAAATTATAAACCTACATGAAAACGGGTAAACTAAAATAAATTGAAAGTAAACCGAAAGGGATTCTCTAACAACATGTAGTTATCTACATTTAAGCCCCCATGATCACAGAGATATTCAAATGGATAAGAAATATGGGTAAGGAACTTCCAACGGTCCATATACTACTTCTATATATAAATCAAATTTGTATTTTAACAAATTAAATCTAGTATCTAATACTAAACTTAATATTAGTACGAGTACTAGCTACTCGGGCCTTCGACTTATATAAATAAAATGAAAAACTACAAAAATGATATAATTTTTAGATTTGTCACCCAGTTCGTCCCGCTCTTGACATTGAAAAAACTACAAGTATAGGTATTGTCGTTACCTTACAAAATTCACGATTTCGATTTAAGGTTCCAGAAATCCGCTGTAATATTCGAACTGATTTGCAGTAACATTACCAAACAAAATATCCTTCAATTATTTGATTGGAATGAAAATAATTCGTCCTGATTTATATTTCCACATTATTTTTTAAAAAACAATGTTTTCAATTTTGTTTTTTTTTTTGAACTGGTACATTTTTGTTTTTTTGGCTTAATAGTAAATATTTTAGGAGAGTCTGCATATAAAGTTTGCGGACAAACAGAACGGGATTTTACTGTACTGTAAAGTCCAAGTAACTTGCGCAGTTAAACACCGTAATTAGAATTAATGTTCGGAATCGAATTGCAGATGTAAGTACATATATATCAAGCTAACCGTAAATCGTGTCGTACACACGCACACAGTACTACAAGTATATGTGTTTGTGAGGAGCAGTGAAAATACACGCAATGCGTAAAAGGTAGTGGTTAGCAAGTGGGTGGCAGAGGCGTGGTCGGGTAAAGAGTAAGGGAGTGGGATGTGCAATGTTTGGCAGCTTCGCAATACGCAGCGCAATGAAAATGCAGTCAAGCTATCTCTAATGCCAGATATTTTTGCGAAGCGGAGCAGCTCAAGCGTGTCATTATAATTAGCCAAGTTAACAAGCCAAGCATTGCAAAAACAACAGCAGCAAATTGCAGATACAGCTGCAACTGTTTATAAAATGAGATAAAGTTAATGCATCAGTCTTGACCATCCTTCCCCTCCTCTCTCTCTCTCTCTCTCTCTCTCTCATTGTTTGACAGGCACGCGAGGAGCAGGCACGCCTCGAAATGAAGCATCGCAAGGAGGAGGATGACTTGTATCGGAAATTTGCGCGCAAGCGCGAGGAGGAGGACCGCAAGATACAAAGCGAGTTTCAGGACGAGTGGGAGCGTGAGCTGCAACGCCTGACGCATAAATTCGAAAAGGAACTGGCGACCTCACGTCGCAATCGCGACGAACAGAACATCCTGACACTGCGGCACGAGCAGCAAAAGGAGGATCTGGAAAAGAATATGACGTTGCGACGCAGCAAGAAGAAGGAGAGCATTACGCGCAAGATGCTCGAGCATGAGCGCTTCGAAACGGCCGCTCTGGTCGATCGACAGTCAAGCGAAATGTTAGAACTGATCAGTGCCCGTCGCTCCGAGTACATGCAGAGCGAAAGCATCTTCCTTGACGATGAGTTCACAGAGGGTGCCGTGCCCATTGAGTATCCGCTGAATGCGCCTGTACCTGCTCCGCCAGCGGTTAGCAAGTTCCAAATCTATACGGATCCTATTGAGTTCGAGGATGTGGATCGCATTGCCATTTCGGTGGCGCAGGAAGATCAGAAGACGTTCACAGATCTTGTCCGACAACTCGTGGGTCGTTGCACCACAGACATTGAGAAGGCGCGTACCATTTTCCGCTGGATAACCGTCAAAAATCTGAATGCCATGCACTTCGATGACGATTTACGCGGCGACACACCCATGGGTCTTTTACGCGGCATTAAGTACGGCACCGAAAGCTACCATGTGCTGTTCAAGCGTCTGTGCAGCTATGCCGGCTTGCACTGCGTTGTCATCAAGGGCTACTCCAAGAGTGCCGGGTACCAGCCGGGCGTAAAGTTTCAGGATTCGCGTTTCCGTAATTCCTGGAATGCCGTCTATGTGGCCGGCGCTTGGCGTTTTGTGCAATGCAATTGGGGCGCACGCCATCTGGTCAATGCCAAGGAGGCGCCTAAACAAGGGCGGGGCAAGAACGACAGCTTGCGGTGAGTAAAAATACCTGATCAATATTATTTAATACTATACAAGTATATAACTTTCTATCAATCCGACAAGAATATTAGCAAGCAATGAACATTCAAGATATTTAAATTTTCGATTCCAAAAATGGCCAGAAGAGTAAAGTATTGAAATGAAATTATGGAACATTTTAGGCCAAGTCCAATATTTACTATGAATCTCATTCTTAATTTATACCCATGACAATGGTTATATTCAGATTATGCTACTTGTATTTTCATTCTAATTTGTTGAATAATTATATTTCATTTCTTTGCAGCTATGAGTACGATGACCATTATTTCCTTACAGACCCGCGAGAGTTCATCTACGAGTTCTATCCACTTCAGGAGGAATGGCAGTTATTGAAGCGACCGATTACATTACGGGAATTTGAGAATTTGCCCTTCGTCCGTTCGTTGTTCTTCCGGTATGGTCTGCACTTTGCGGACGAGGGTTACGGAGCCGTGGTATTCACTGATGATACAGGTACTGGGTCTGCATCAATCTTCTAAGCAGTCTGATTAAATTATGTTTTACTTTTAGGCGCGGCCACGGTACGCATTGCCATGCCGACGGATATGCAGAGCTGCCTAATTTTCCACTACAATCTAAAATTCTATGACAGCGATGAGGAGCTTTCCTACGATGGCGTCTCGCTGAAACGCTTCGTCATGCAGTCGGTCATTGGCAACATTGTGGCCTTCCGCGTACACGCGCCCTGCTCAGGTGCCTTTCTGCTGGACATATTTGCCAATGCCGTGACGCCCCAGGAATATCTTACCGGGGAGCCCATGAAGTTCAAATCCGTCTGCAAGTTCAAGGTAAGTTCACATGCGCTGTATTTTGTAGGCAGCGACTTCAGAATTGGGATTCTATTGCAGATTTGTTGCGAGGAGTTGCAAACGGTCATGGTGCCGCTGCCGGATTGTGCCAGTGGCGAATGGGGACCTACAAAGGCGACACGGCTGTTTGGTCTCATACCCATAACACACCAGGTAAGGTTACTTCTTGTCAGTAATTTATTTATGGTGCTAAGCCATTTTTTTGTTGCCATCCAGGATCCGCTCATTTTTGCTGGACGCAGCCTGGATCTGCAGTTCCGCATGTCCCGTCCGCTGACCGACTTCATGGCGACGCTGCACAAGAACGGAATCGAGGAGAAGAAACTTGCCAAATATGTCACTCACAATACACTCGACGACATTGTCACGTTTATTATCAAGTAAGAGTTGGACCTACATATAATTCTACGATGTGGCAGACAAATAGTTTGCAAACAAATTCTTTTCGTTTGCAAATTATTTGCCTCTTTGACCATAGCCCTAATTGTGTTGAATATCACTCAACACTCTCTGTCAACTATATTTTAGTTTTCCGGAAGAGGGACAGTATGGTCTGGATATCTATACGAGGGAACTGGGCGCCTCACAGCATCATCACAACAACAACTCCTCCACATCGACGGGTGAGAAGCATCTGCTGACACATTGTTGTAAATATTTAATAAACTCGTCCAAGCGGAATTAATTTAACAATAAATGATTATATTTACTGGATAGATAAATATTGATATATTCTATATGTACGAACTTTTTTGTTGACTTTTAGTTCATAATTATGCAACAAAATCTGACAAAATGCAATATTATTTATAATGTAGACATAAGCACGATCATTTCAAATTCTGTTGTAAACATTAAACATACCAAGCAGGTGCTAAATTGCTCTAAAACATGTTCTATAACTTGGTTAATTTCACCCCTGTAATAGTTTCATAAGTACTTTATATCCAATATTATTTATATAAAAAAATATTGGCAAAACATGCAATCGAACCATGTAAATACTCTAGAGTCTAATCATTAGCCGTAAAATGACTTTAATATAATTTAAACAACTCTTACATCTAATTATTATTGCTTAAATTATTTATTGCAAATGTCAGCACATTGTCATATGCAGAGTTTGCCTTTCAAATAATAATATGTAATTCAATTTGCAAATTCAATGCAATGCACTAACGATGTTCTTGTTTTGGCATTAAACGGTTTTGCATATTTTGATTAAATTTGAAGTGCACACAAAATGAAAAAAATACGCATATTATTATTATTATACATTGTTTAAGTAATTAAACACTATGATAATGTGAATAAATACTTATTATGTATCTACAAGTATGCTATTACAAAACGTGTCAAAAAGCTTATTTAAATCGTGTCCAAAGTATGCAATATAAAGTTCGCAAATGTAAATATAATTGAAAAAGTGTAGCGCACTTTTGGCGGTACGTGGAATTCTTTCAATTCCTCAAGTGGTATCCCCTAGCAATTTAAAATCATATTTAACGTATGATTAGCCCGACAGAAGTACCTAATATATACTGCACTTCAAATTAATAAAGTATTGAAAGTAAACCCTTGGAATGCAGGAATCGACCCTATTATAGATTTACACCTCGAGTAATCTTTTGAATTTTCACAAAAAGAGAACTCAATGCTGGTACAAGAGTAAATGCGGGCATTCAAAGAAAAGCCTACATTTATTGGTATTCAGAAGCCAAAGAGTTTGGAAAATAAATCTATTCGTATGTTGTAAGTATGCGTGCTAAATCAATCTTTTCATAGCTCTAGTGAACTCTGAAGATATTAGTAATCCCAAAAAGAATTTTCTTTTTTCAATGGGTTTTGCTCGTGATTCTGTCAAGTTCTGGACAACATAAAAACAAGCAGACCACAGTAGTTAATTATATCATATATTCATACTTTATTTGTTCATTTTCTTTTTTTTATTGTACAATTTGTAAATTTGACTTTTTTTCAAAGACAAAAAACGTGTATTGCCGCATGTTGTATTTGTCGTACAGTGGTGGGGATGAGGGAACATAAAATATTTTGTATAATGTAAATTGCCAAAGTATTACTTAAACTTATAGAAATATATGTATGTTACTTTAATAATGGATTTGTGTTTTTTTCGTTTTTGCTTCCGCTATTTTAAGTTTAAACTTTAAAGTTAAATGTAAACTTAGCCGCTGCAACGTATTTATGCAAGCAGAATGGTTGGGTGTGTATGTGTGTGTGTGTGTATGTTGTTAATGTTGCAGTCGACGTCATTTGTTACTCCTTGGCATGCCGCCGGGCTTCCCACTTAAAAGTTTCGTCTGCCGTTCTCGTGCACGCTGCAAATAAATAGGAAGACATCGATGCATAATTAAAACGGTTGAACTTTTTAATGAGCGGCAGATTCATTACAACAATTTCATAGGGTTGTAGTTGGGTATTTCTGGAAAGGATGGATGACTGGGGGGACGGGGGAAGGATGTAATTAGTAAGTGGTATGTATGTGTTAGTTAGATGTTAGACGAGACTTATAAGCTAACACGAACAGATTACACGCGCGAGTTTTGTATGTAGCCATGAACTGAAAGAGATACCGATTGAATGCAATAGCCATTAATATTATTATAGATGTTGCAGTTGTTGTTTCTGTTGTTGTTGTGGTAGTAGTAGTAGTTGTTGTTGTTATTATTAAGGCGCACCAAAATGAAGAGCACAATGCACGCCATAAGAAGACAAGGGATTTATTGTTATTTCCAAAACCAAAACAACAAAATCACTAGTCTTCCATACGGAATGCATTCCCAGGACAAAAGTTAGTGTTGGTATTGATGTGGATATATACATATATATATTATAGTATAGATATTAGCACATTAGATTGGAGCATTGATGAGCACTGTAACCGTTATTATAATGCATACAGATGGTTTATTAGAACTTAATTCGAATTAAATCTCCATTGCATGAATTTGGGTAATGTTTGGTAGACTTTTATAAGTAGTTAGTTAGGATCGATAGAGGTGGGTGGTATGGACATGGCAGCAGATGTAATTGGAAGTTATAATGAACGAGTGTGCATACTTGTTGTTGACTGTGAGTTTGCATTGTTTGCTTAGTCATTTTTCGACACCAACCTCTGTTGCAGCAGATACTGGGCCATTTGGATTTGTTTGGGTGTGCCCGATATGGTGATAATGCGATCGTTGGAGCCGGGCAGGGGCTCATCAATGGTTATATATGCATTCGATTCATTGCGTATGCGACGAATCCGGCCGCCACCTTTGCCGATGATAGCACCAGCAAGCTGTAAAACAACATTCGTTTAATTATTTGATCCATTAATTAGCAATTTTCTTGAAACGGAAAATCGCGAATTTGATATTTATACTATTTTCGGATACTTACATCCTTTGGAATGGTCACTTGTGTACTGTTGTTGGGATCATGACCCTGTGGTATGTTTGTAGGCGTATTGCCACCATTGGGGCCACTGCTGTTACCACCGCCAACACCACCGATGTTGGCATTGAAGCCGCCCGCACTGTTGTTAGCACCGACAGCATTTCCCAAGCCACCGCTGTTACTTAAATTGCCACCGCCCAGACCATTACCGAGACCATTGTTGCCAGCACCGAAGCCACCGCCACCACTATTGTTGCCCTGGTTCTGTCCAAAGTTGGCCAAAGCCGGCAGATTGCTGCCAACACCAAGTTGATTGCCGCCTCCAAAGTTGGCACCACCGAAATTGCCCATACTGTTGCCGCCAGATCCGCCACCAATGCCTTGACCACCGAAACTGCCGCCGTTATTGCCAAAATCATTTGGCCCATTGGGGCCACCGTTGAAGCTATTATTGCCAAAGTTACCGCCGCCGCCACCGCCGAACGGACCGCCAGCGCCAAAGTTATTGCCACCGAAACCACCACCATTGTTTCCACCAAAACCGCCGTCAGCATCGCCGCCACCGCCATTGGCCCAAGGATTTATGAAGGGATTGTCCCGAGGTCCGACGTTACCGCCTCCAATACCAGCTCCGCCAATGCCACCGTTTCCACGTCCACTATCAAAGCGATTATTACCTCGACCACCAGCGCCACCGGCACCACCGAAGCCGCCGCCGCCGCCACCACCACCACCGCCGCCAGCACCACCTCCCATGCCACCGCCACCGCCTCCACCCCCACCATTGCGATTTCCACGCTGGCTCGGCCGTGTGCTTCCGGTACCGGTACCGTAGCCGCCATATTCATCGGCATAGACGCGATCAAAGTTCATGGGATCATAGTTGTGTATAGGCCCCTTAATGGGAGTGTCACGCGTGAGCGTGATGACTTCGCGCACCGCATCGATGACCTGACTCTGTTTGCCAACCGTTTGCACCACACGGTCTGTGCTCTGGGGAGCTACATTGGAGAAAACCTTCAGGAAGCGGCAACCAATGCGCTGTAAAGATAAAAGAAAGAGAGTTAGCTATAATGTATGAAAAAGGAGAGAGAGATTGTGATCATATAGCCAAATAACTTGCACATCAATTTGTGGAATAATGTATACTACTTTGCTAAAACATATATTTCTCTTGGGTCTATTCTTTTTACACTGTAGTTTAGTTAGTTATTCTATATTCAAAACGGATACAAATTTTACGTGAGCCACGATTCCTTTCGTAAAGCTTAATCCGGTACGAGTATTTGGTTAAAATTTAAATCATTAGAATATGTTTTTATTGCATTTATTTTCTCGTCCCAAGTTTAATTTTAAAGAATTCAAACTGTACCTGCCCCTGTGGAATCTCTAGTCTTGACCAAATGGCTTAGCAGGCAACACACTAAATGCCAAACGAATCAACAAAGGACACACACAGGCACACCTCAGAATTTGATGGAAACGAGCATGAAAGCAAGAAGCAGGTCTGAAACAACAGGCGGCAGATCAGCAACACACAAAATGGCTTCACTCTGTAAGCGTTTCGGCCGCAATGGGCAACAAGGACTATTGCAGCTGCTGCTGGCATTGGAAACGCCTTTCGCATTGCAACGTTCGCAGGATGCTCAGTCAACGCTTAAATCAATTTAGCCATGACCATGCGACCTGCGATACGACACATTGTGAGGTCCTAGACGACAAATCGGATCAGCAGGCGACTGTCTGGAGTGGTGCAGGATTTAGGCTATGGCTTAAAGTTCCTGTGGTCTTCAACGACAAGTTTACAGCAGATTCCGAATAAATTCACTTGTATGGAACACATTGAAACAAGAAAAGAGATGTATTCACTTTTCAAAATATTTAATCACTAAAAACTAATATTTTAAACTAATTTAAACTTATATTCCACTACTTTTATAAAAACGCAGAAGCAAGATCGAAATTGAACAAACTGATAAAAAAATATTTAAGGGAAAAAAGTAGATGTGACGCAAAGTTGACGGAAGTTGAAAAAGAAAAACCAAATTTATTCGTTCAATTGAATACTCTGTTCCACATAAGGAAGTGCTGCTATCTAGCCTGAGGCATGTCCTCGGCTACCTGATGGTGGCATTAAATGTGTAATTTGTTTTTGGACAGCTGCAACAGCAGCAGCTCCCACATTTTTGTGTGCTGCGGTGGCGGCTCATCGACCGGAAGCTGCCACAGACACACAATGCCACATGCTGCATGCGTCCCTCCTCTCTCTCCCTCTCTTTCTTCTATCTGTCGACTTTGGCGATTGCCGGAAGTGTAAATGTGAAATTCGATACCCACTTTAAAACCGTGCAAGGGGCACAGATTTGCTCCTCACACATACACACTCGCACACACACTATCCATGCATGTGCATTGGAGCCTGCTTCCTTTGTTGTTATTGCGTGTTTTTTCAATGCTGTTTGCCCTGCCCGGACACAGCCTGATGATTGCATCATTTCTAAACCATAAATGCTACACATATTCCCTTTTCAAGTGTGCGTGGCGTGTCGAGTCCCTGTGTATGTATGTATGCTTGCCAATGACCAAAGCTGCGTCATCCCCATTCCCACCCGACCTTACACAGACGCAACTCGTTCTTGGCCCCCCACTCTCAGACAACAATAAAATAAAAAAACTGTGTGAAGTGGGCCTTCCGTCTTGCCTCATGAATGGAAATGATGCCATAGAGCGCCCAGGGAGGACTAACGGGCGGGCAGGCGTCAAAAATGTTGAGTCACACAGTGCACATTGACAAGCACACACACACACCCACATACATATACATACAGTGACACACACAAATACAAAAACACGCACATTGAGTTTTATATCATTTGGCTCCAGCTGGGCCGGACAGGACAGGACAGCGTTTATAAAACATCAAAAATGTGCCAGTAACAGGCACATTTGGTCTTCGGGCTGTCCCGGCAATGATTCGACGTTGAATTTATTAAATTTTGAACATGAGTGCGCGCACATTAAACAAGAACAACAACGACGGCTACTACTCGTACAATGCTTGAGGCTAGTAATGTGGCGCGCGCAAATATTTGGGTGCGCGTGTGTGTGCGTCTGTAGTTGTAGCATACTTTTTGGGATCCACAATGCAAAGCAATTTAAACGAAAAAGCAACGCGTAAATGTGTAAGTATGCGTGCCTCTAATGCGTGTGTATTGTATATACTCGTACATACTATACATATACATTTATATATAAATATATATATATAAGTGTGTGCGTGTGAGTTGGCTTGTAAAAACTCTATCACGCACACGAAATATGCTCACAACTTAATTTATTTAATTGCAGTTAAATTGAATTTTTCATCCGCATTTTTAAAATGATTAATTCAACATTCAATCAATCAAATAAAGTATAATATAAATATATCATATTATATATGAATATACATACTATATTTCACTATTATATCTTCTGGCATTATTAATGAACTTCAAACAACGCACGATGATATCTGACACAAATGTGTGTACACATATAGGGTGTCCTATAAACAGCCAAACAGGAAGTTATGTTTTTGGACCGAAAAGTAAGGAATGCTTCATTGTTGGTTGATATACTCGAAACCCACATCCCATAATTAAACCAAATTTGATTCGATAAGGATTGAGTGGCCTCTATTAATTAATTTAGTTTTCAATTCAATTTGAACACCTATTTGGTAAGCAAAATGTTGTTGACGAAAACACGTTTTTCATTATTGTAGTGCTTCTACATTTTTAATAACCCTGCCTCTTTAGTTGCTATATTTTTTTTACCACACAACTGGCGTGTATTTTGTGACACCCTTGAGTTGTAGGAATATGTTTGTGTATATTTTTTGTATATAATTTTTTTTCACCACACACTTGAAATGTTTTTGGCCTTTGCCGATTTTATTCTGGCTTCGTTGCAGGACACCGATTGCAGGAAAAATACGAACCGTGCGCGACCAGCGCCAATGTCGAACTAATTGGGTTCAACGAATGCGAGTAACCACGTAAGGCACAAAGACACGGACAGCAGAGCAGAGAAGACCAGCGCAGCGAAGCAGAGCAGCGCAGAGAAAAAGTCAAGCCGAGCGCGCTCGGCAAGCGAGTAAGGACAACATAAATGCTCACAAACATACACACACAATTGCGACGGCAGTGTCAGCCAGCATGTGCGTGCTGTGGTTGCTGTAAATTGTTGTTCTGTGTAGCAACAGCAGGCAGTCAGGCAAGACAGGAAAACGTGGAGCGGCCAAAAGGATAGGCAGGCTGCTGCTGCCGCTACTGCCAACTGCTCTGCTTTGGCACAGGCAGCTGTCACGAGTGTCGGTATGTTTGTGTGTGTGTGTGTGTGTGACTGAGCAGCGGAACCGGTGTATTTTCAAGCTCCTTTTGCTCCCATTGTTTTCCTTATTTTTTTCTTATTTTTTTGGCCCATAATAAGCCAAGGAGCAACGCATGCGTCTGCGCAGGAGAACACAAATAGAGCGCGCACAGTGGTTTACTAATATTTTTTTTGGTAAGATATATGTTCGTGTTGATATACAAGTATGATGTTTCGCAGCAGTTATTCACATTTTTATTTAAAAAATAAAGTAAAAAGCAATACAAATATCAAGGATACCTTGTAGCAAATTTGAATTTGGTTCAAGTTGTATCACAGTGTAGGTGCGTGTCGGGTCTTAGTAGATAAAACAGGACTAGCCAATGGAAATTATTCAATCTAAAAACTAACGACTGATTAAAACTTAACGACAGCAAAACATGCGACAGTAAAATATAAATATAACAGCATAAGGTGGATAAGATGAAGTGGTCATAAATAAAAAATCAATTCATTCTATTTTAAAAAGAATATTATGAATTCTTCACAATAATAGCAAAAACGAATCAGGAAAAATATCAATTGAATCAATGTTTAAGAAATGAATATAAATATTCCAGAAAGATCATAATTTTTAGTTGTTGTTAATTGTTATTTGATTTTTGAAAATTGTTTAATCGTCATCACATCATACAACATAATTAAATAGATTTTAAAAGAGTGCGAAATATATAGTAAAGTAGTATATGCTTGATTTTTCCGATCATGTTCATTTCTGCACTCAGTGTGCACGGCTTGACAAATTGTCAGCATAAGCGTTCGTCCACGCACACACACACACACACACACACGCACACACAGGAAATCACACGGAGCTTGATATATGGGTGTACACACATTTGGACACTGGCAGTCATATAACCATGTCAAATAAAAAGCAATCATTGTCCTTACTTAAGATATTTTATGCATTTGTCTGAACTTTAAGCAGCTTTTCAAGCAACGACGATGCAACAACCTCAGAATCAGTAGCAGAACAGTGGAGGCAGCTATTTGAAATCGGCTTCAACGTTGGTGCTCAAGTGGCGTCTGATGCTGGCAACTGAGCGTTGATTGATATGTAAAACTATCGGAGCAGTTCGTCGGTAGTTCGAACTACTATCAAGTGCTTTGTTGGCCATCATCGATGCCATTAATGCGCTTAACAAACGAAGGAAGAACGGCCTCCACATGCGTCCGTCCCATGCAGCTTCAATTATGAGCAATGGCTGGGCTGTGTTCTCAGGCGCCATAGATGCCTCTGTCGACGCTTAGACCTGGTCGTTCTCAGTCTTACCAGCAGCAGCAGCAGAAAAAGCCGCTCTGGGCAAAGTATGGAAGGCGTATTTTCCAGGCATACTGCTGCTGTAATTGAGCCTATGTCATCACCCAATCAATTTGCAGTTGCGCCTCTTAACATGCAGACTACATGCTTAAATGCTAGCAATTTGCCAGCATTAGTAATGCGTCTAAGCTGCCATTTGCAGCTAAGCCCCCGTAAGGCTCTGAGAACACGACATCTGATGCAATTACAAAGTTTTAGCACTAAACACGTTGCAAACTTTTTGTCATCATGCTAATGTTCAATTAAATAGTGTGCCTAACTGCTGCATCACCCCAAATGCAAATCAGCATGTTTTAAAGCCTCC